AAAAAAAAAAAAAAAATCCAGAACATTTCGCTATATGCGGGAATTTTCTTCCGAAGGGAACCACTCCACCACCATTACTTCGTCGATATTAATATCGCGCACGAGATTTAATTCCAAGTGTGGTTAAAACATGGTGGCGAAGGCGGATTTGCCATTCGGCCGTTTCTGTTTGGGCTCTAGAATTTTCTAGTATTGTAACGTCAGGGACGAAACGGTCTATCGGTACCGTCCTGCGCCTTCCACAAATTAACGGCTCATCTCTTAAAAATTTAGAAAGAAAAGAAACAAAAAAATTCTTTCATTTCTTAGTCAACCCGCTATTATAGAGTTCACGAATGATACGTATATGGTGATCTTCACGTTGTATCCTGTCCAGCATGATACAGTCCAACTCGTTTTGAATTCATGTGTTGGAGACTCGGATCGAGACTCATGTTTAAGTCAACTCTGACTGTTCGGAAAAGAAAGAGAGAGAGATAACTTCATGCATGAATGGAAGGCTTGACGGCTAGGTATCTGATTTCCGAACGAATCGTCTCTTACGATTGCCGTTTCATTTCAAGGGACACCCTTCAAAGCATTTCCTATGCCGACGAATCAATGAAAGTTAGACCGCGGGGTAAACAAGGGAAACCCTGATCGATGTCGATGAGGAGTTCAAAGCGGTGGGGACAACATCACGACACCTGGACATTGACAAGAAAAAAAAAAAAGTTACCTAGCTTATTAGGCCCCATTCTCGTGATGAAAACCCTTGTCAAAATCACGGGAGCTTGGGAAAGAAATTAGAAAGAAAGATACGTAGGTCTGGAGAAATGGAAGAAAAAAGGTTCGACGGTCTGGGGTAGCCGTAGGCGTATGTAGCTCCCCGAACACACGATATTATCCACAACCACAAAGGATTCGTCGACAATAGCTGCTTTAGAATTAAAAATGAAAAGAAAAATTAAAACGAGTGGTGGTCAAAGCACACGCACACACGCTTACTCGCCATGCTCTCGGGATTGGATAATAGCCGGTTCGGCTCTTTGGCAGGTTGCATGTCTAAGGGCACAGCGGCACGGCGATCTCGGAGTATTGAGGTGGTGAGACTGACGACACAGAAAGATATTTCTGGATTGGCTAGAACTATTCCGGCGGCTTCGATTCGTTCTGGTTTGCATCGACAATCAATCTTTTTGCTAGAGAGTTTCATCTAGGTGGAAAGACCTATGATAGTCGAGACAAACTTTTCTTTAGTGTTGTTTTTGTTTCGTTTTTTGCGGTTTTCGTCGAGGCTAAGTTTGCACTACTCGAACCGTGCCGTGCGTGCAGGAACAAGAAATACTTTTGCCGTATTGATTTTCCGTTCCTGCAGCATGGTACCAAAACCCAGCGAATCACTAATAAACATTAGATCTCAGGTGCCATCGGCATCTTCATCACCAATGTATCTCTCTCGTTTAAAATTTATTTCAAAGTTTGTCACGGCACAGACTCGTGCATCATATGTAGTAATAGGAAAATATTTCTGCAAGTCTGGGCAAATTTGCAAGCTGCAACCGCTATCACATTGGACATCGTATCGTGTCCCCGGATCCGCCCTCGGGGGCGAGCGAGATGCAAAGTCTGATCCTCGGGTCAGGAACCCGTTCCCCATCTGGTTTCTTTGGAGTTTTCCTTGGCTTTTTTTTTTTGAAAACTTCAAAAAAAGGTCCCACTTTGCCAGGCACTAAGGCTCCCCTGCTGGACCCATGCGGCCGGATTGGACTCCCTGCCCCAGCTTAAATCCCTTGTGCTGTGGACCAGGACCCTGGAGATCAAACCTCGTAAGTGATCAGAAAGTAGAATAGTCTCTGCTTCAAAGCGAGAACCAGGGCCTTGGCAATTTGCCTTCACTGTGTCGCCCCGCTCCACAAGTGTATTTCCCATCAATGAGAAACTCGCAATGTTGGAGAGTCTCTCGCGTGAACCAGTTGCCTTTCGAGAAGCCCAGTCGAAGGTTTGAATCGTCCCAGCTCATTGTCTCTCTGGGACGAAGCGGGCTTTCTTCCCACATCCGCGGACACACCCAGCCCACTTGGCTCTAAACCGTTTCTGTCGAGGAATTAAGCAACTTTGAACTCCAATTTCACATTCCATCAGATCCGTTATTCTAATCACATCTAATCCCTCTGAGACAATGTTATAGTTGAAGGGCACGATGGATTTTATGATTATCGAATTAAACGTTTCGATAGCGGGTCCTCCCGCCAAGACTTGGTGATCCAACCATCCGGAACCTCGGATCGTAGAAATTCTCAAAGGAGACCCTGTGAAGTCGAGGCCTGGAACGAGCAAAACGCCTTTTCTTTTACCAGTTTCTTCGGAAAGCAAAAATTGGCGAAAACTCCAGCTTGGGATTCAACCCGAGGAACAGGTCTAGCTTTTTTTGTGGCGGTTTCATTTTCAGACAAACACGGTTCCGGGAGACACGTTATTTCCTTGATATGTGATTGAATCGATTTCTGGGATGAAGAAAGAAAGAAGAAAGGAAAGGGAAAAAAAAAAACGTGACGGGTCTGCCCGGTGTGATACTAAATGGGCCGATGGTATGGCGATGGAAGGGCGAATTTTCGGCCTCGGGTACCAATCTGTGACGTCGGGGTGTTATCCGTGATTGGTATATCGAGGAGATATGAGCCCGTCGGCATTTCACTTCGAGACAGGTTTCACCAGATGGCGATGCGCGGTTTTCAAATTTTCTTGCCCTCGATCTAGGCGGCTGTAACCAGAAAGTAAAGGTGTTGGACGGCGTCTGATCTGCTCTCCGATGGGACTTTCCAATGTCGCCAAACATGCAATGAAGAAAACATTTAACGTTACCTGAACGGGTGGAGCCATGGTAGGTACCGAATGGGGTTGGTGGATATCGCCAAAACCTTGGATAGGAAGGCACCGACCTGGGAAGACTCGTCCGACGAAACCCAATTCGCTTGATACATCTTGCATTGGGATATCGAGGCCGCAAGATGCCTGAGTTTGCCACCACCGAACGTTTCTGTGCCATATGCAAGAGAAGCCTGAGGAAGAAACAACAGCAGACACGCTGCATGGCATGATCGTTTGTGTGAGGTTGAGAGGAGAAAAAAGAGTTTAACTATCACATGGGCGTCGGCTGAAGCGTTTAAAGACTCCATGGCACACATCGAATATGGAAATTCCAGACCTATTGGGAAAGCAGCTCCGATCGATCCATTGACAGCACAGTATCTCGCGAAGGCACCAACCTTCCTCTGCATGAGGCTTCGTTTGAGAATGTGTTGACACTGGTTAGAGCCGGCATGCTGTAGGTCTCAAGTGATGGCTGATCTGATCTGATCTGACCTGACTGACCGATTCACCGATGATTGTGCTTTACTAAAATGTCAAAGTTCCCGCTAATGTCAACCTGTTGGATATGTTAAGTTACGTTGGATGTACCGGTACAAGGCGAGGTTGGAATGCCGCCGATCGAAAGATTTCTAAATTTGATAACATCTCGGTCAAAGCAACAGACCTATCTCGGGTAGGCGGTTTCAAAAGTTTCTCCAAAGCAAAGCAAAGCCTGCTTGCCTGCCTGCCCACATAGTAAGTAAGTATAGACATACATCATCCCGTCGACATGATATTAGTGGGGTCATCGGTCAGCATCAAGAAGGGCTTTCGGGAAAGCGTAATTCCACCTAATTCCACCTAATTCAAATCTATTCTTCGAGGCAACCATTTCTATTGCAGATGAATTGGGTTTAGTTAACCATCCACAAACTATAGTTTCAGGGTGAGATGATCCATACACGGTAGTGTCTTCGAGCGGGGACCTTGCATACGTAGACGGCAAGGAATCCTGTATCCCGCCTAAGACCTTGCCGGTGATAAGATCTCGTATGCACATCGCCTTCGGAAAAACCCAAAAGGTTGTCAAACAAATATTAAAATATGTCAGACATACTATTCTGTGAAGAAAGCAGTTAATGCTGGGACACGGCATTGACAGGCTCCGCGGGGGCTCTGCTAAATCCTGGATTATCGATTCCTGTGCTCTTATCCGGCCATTTGGGAGTGTCGTGTTTCATGTCCCTCCCACAACATGATGCTTGGTGAGCTTACGGCCTGGGTATAATTGCATTCCACTGCATACAAGCGCACTAATCTGTGCTGACTACGTCAGTATGTTCGAAATAGTACCTGTCTACAAGGTTCAAACATGCACAGGGTCTGTACAGAGCATTTTAATTGCATCTTATAACTGTTGTGATACAGTAAGAGGGGTATATACATACCCACAACCTCGCAAGTTTAATAGCATTTGAAATCACGTTTATCGCTGTGCCTCGACTTACCACTAATGATATTTCTCATGCCGGCTTCCAGGAATGGAATATCGAAGGAGATAACAAAATTAAGGTTGGCTTGGTTTCTATGAAGCCGACAAACAAAAAGTCGCTGTCGGTACCTGGCACGATCAGCAGCTTTGTACCTGACCGCTTGGCATCATACGGTATCCCTCCCCGGTATGCAGAAACATTGCGCCCGACTTGATGGTTTAAGCAGTAGTTATGCGAGCTGCAGAGTCGTTATGCACGTCTTTTTGTTATTTTTAACGAAATCTATCTTTATGATGATGGTGCTGATATAATGTGGGGTGAACAATGGTGGCGGTGGCAGTAGCGATGGTTATTGTGGTTGTAGTGGTGTTGTAATTATATGCAACCACGCAGACAATTAATTGTTTGTTTCGTCTCCCGAGTATACATCGTTTCAACGATCTCATGTAAACATCAGAATGTCCCCGGATATTGACGGTATGCTCGGGTCTGTAGACCCTTCTTCGGCTCATATGCTACCAGTCGAGATATATGTCCCAGGTGCCTGGTAGACCTGGTAGACCTTGTAGATGAAATTCATGTTTGAAGCTGAAATTGTGGAGATATGTCAAAATACCTCTAGTGTTATATCGTCATGGGACCAGTTGTAATTGAAGATTTTCCAAGATTTTGAGACGAGACTAATAAGAATACGGATTATAATCTGAAAAACAACGGGTGCACGCAATATGAATCCATCCCGAAGAGGGTCGCAGTTCGGAGAGGGTGCATATGATCACGTTGCTGGTATATGGCGATACCATCCTTCCTATCAAGAGAAAGAGAACTTTATATTGTTTCAAAAGAGTGGAGAACAGATATTCATTCCGTTCTTCTCACAGTCAGATTTTTGAGTTTTCATGGAACAATTGGGACCAGAATAAGCATTCCGTATCAATTCTTGGGTGATATCATATGGGGTGTGTATGTATGATGGAGTTCCCACCTCGATTCTCCGGGCATGTAAACAGAGAAGAGATATAGATTATGGATCAGCCAGCACTTATGCAATATGTTTGTTCTATGGTTCGATTGACGCTCATCTTAGACTCTAGGCATCATTGATATGATGGATGGGCAACACGGGAATGTGATAATCGAAGCAAGCCGCACGGAGACAAAGTCTCCTGATGAGAGAAGAAGAAGAAGAAGAGAAAGAAATTTTTCGCGAGGAAGAGAATTTGTATACCGAATTTTTTTTTCGTGCGTTGAGTCTTGGCATTCACGTGTTGTTACACTTCAACTCAACACAACCGGTTTCACCAACTGGCTAGTGCAGGGCAACATATGCTAACAAGCACACACACACACACACACACACACACACAATCGATTCAAGGTGCTCAATTTCATATCGAAGCATTTCAAATTGTTCCCCGGCTGTGCTACAACTTCTCAAAAGTTACCCTGATCCCTCCGGTTGAGATAATAAATTGCTACGGATTTAGTATAGTCCGGTTGGAAGCAGGATGTCGACCTACCGACCGTACTTCCAGACCTTGCCCGGGGTATGTGATCTATGCAGTCGATCGTCACTGGAATCGTTCTTCGACACATTCGATGCATAGCCTGATCTAATGGCCGGGGTCTCTGATTGTCGAAGTGTTAGATCTTACATTCTGAAGTTGGATGTGCGAATCACCTGAAAGGAATAAACGAAATGATGATTGTCAATCATGTACCAACGGGTTGAGGGCAATCGAACTTTCCTATTCCATCAACATCCGCATCCTGTTGATTCGCAGGAAAGTGTCACGATGTTATATCAGATTTTTTCGAAACTTACAAAAGCTTACGGGCAAGCAAAAAGACGGGACGTCAAAGTGATTGCGTACTATGTGCCGGCCACCGACGATGCGGGAGCGGCAATGGCATTCTTTGACCAGTCAGTCGTCGGATTCGATAGCGTCGGTCGAGTCCACAACACCATCTTCGGACTTTTGTGGTTTTATGGCAGCCAACCAGAGACGGAGCTGTAGCGCGCGTTTTAGACACAGCACCTGCGGGATCACGAGCACACCTCAACGAAGAGGAAAGATTGGAGCAAACATTAACATTAGCTTCATTGTGTTTCTATCAATAATATTGCTACCATCTACGACGCTCTAAGACATGCGTCTACGGTTCCAATTGCATGATCCGACCTCTCGATTTTCAGAAGCCTGAGGGTTTAGCACCAATGACCCGCCGAATTGAGCCTAACCCAGCAGCTGCACCTTCTTACTCGATTGCCTTCGGTTAGTTGGTCTAAAGCCACCACGATAAGGTACCTTGACCTCTAACACGGTATCTTCTCTCCATCTCTGTTCCTGCAGTAGTTCGCATTAGAAGTCCTCATTCCGGAGGACAGAAGTATGTATGTACCTACGGTACGTATACTTTCCGTGGACAAAAACTGGAGAAGCGGAAGAAGAAGAAGAAGAAGAAGAAAAGTTTGCAAATACCCACTTTATGCAGGAGAGTGAAGCATGGTTTGATAATGAAATGGAAGAAGGTTTTTTTTATTTTATTTTTTCCTTTTCTCCAGTTGAGAGAAAAACATGTGGTCTGGCTTTGACGTCTACACAGACGCCTAAAGGTCTGTAGCGGCATTTCGTCAAGACTTACCCAGAAGGGAAGACTTTTGCCTACGCCTGAAACCAAGGCAGAAGATGCACCTAAGCACCTTGACGAAGCACATGGCCTATGCACGATAGTCCATCAACCTATGGGGAACGGACTTATTCTGTGACGCCGGGTAGGCCCTCGACGGTACATCGGCAATATATGTCTTTCGGTCGGGTACGCCGCAGAATCAACGTGTTCATCAGGCGGTGTGCGTACTATTGTACCTTTCGCCGATAAGTTTAGGTGTGAAATGTTTTTAGTGAAGAAGCATGAGCGGTGCTGCGGCATGGTCCTTCAGGTGATGGAACACTTTGCCTGGTGCCGGATGAGCTGGACTGCGACGGAATCACACACTATTTTTCTCGGCTTCACCAATTGTCAAGGGCGTCGACGGTCAACTTCACCAAATCCAGCATTGAAAACTCTGCCCGACAAATAGAACAGCGTGCAAGTCAGTGCCAGTCGGTGCCAGTCGGTGACTGAGCCTGGCCAGCGTGCGTATCGACAAATCGGGGCATGCGGACCAAGTTTTCGTTCGACAGAAATTTTAGCTCTTCCTCTTTCAAATTGGCTGCTTCTTTTTTCAGCTACTGATATTGCTTTTGACGGTGGCAGTGAGCAGCGAGCGTGCGAATGGGTACATACTACGTACTGTTATTCAGGTCGTACTTGTACCTTAGCATGTGCCCACGGTGCTAACAGCGAGGTGAGTGTTCGGGTACCTGTGGGTCCCGAAGCCTTTCACAGTACGATTCCTTCTTGGTTGGCTGCGGCCAGGGTTCTGAGGCAACACAACCACACCATCACCATCACACCGCAGAGAGTGGGCGACTGGGAAGGAAAAGATACCCTGTCGGTTCAGTGCTAATGGCTCCGCGGTGGATGTGGGTTAGCATGCATCTTGGACCGGTGGGGGCCAAATTTCTTTTTTTCCAGACACACACTCTCACTCTCGAGTTTCATTTCTTATTCCTGCAAGACTCTTAATTGAGAGTGGATGCGCCTCTCTCACTAGTCTAGTCCGGAGCCTGAGTGGAGAAGGGTATAGAGACATTTTCACTTTCGAATTCAACATTTGCTTTTTCACATTTGAACCCAACCCATCCAACTTCTCACCCTCGTATGCCGTGGGGGAATTTTCTCGGTTGCTGCTGATTGTGTGATCTTAGCGGCGCGTCGCCCTGGGTGTCAACTACTAGCAGAATCCCGTTAGCAGCAAAATACCTACGTCTCAGCCTGTGAGGACGAGGACAGAGACGTCGTTGGCCAGCCTGCACTTGGTTTTGCTTCTTTTTTAGCCAAAAGGCATGGTTCCTTTACCAAGATAGAGTGCGAGACCATGCTCAGGTTCGCTGGCTGGTCGGTCGAGTCAAATACCGGCCAATATCTCCATCCAGATTCTGATATTTCCCACTCCCAGCTCTACACACCGTCCTTCATCGTAAGCTGCTCTTATTCTTAAAGGCAAGGAAGCGTCTACGTCGGTCCTTCTTTGGTTTTGTTCTTCTCACATGTTATATTTAATATAATCTAATCGCCCGTCTACTGTTTCCACCACTCTCGTTTTTTATACACTCGGAAACCAGTCCTTCCCTCATCATTCATCATTCATAAACCTATACTCAAAATAAAGAGCTTCGATAGACACACACATTCCCTCAAGTCTATTACACTATACCAACAAGTTAATCGTATTCATATATAATTCTTTCATCGTCATCATCCTTTTTGTTGTTTAATATCCTCTCCACGGCAAGGTTTCCGTCAGCTCGCGGGATTCAGAATCAGCCCTTTTGTTATACGAGAACACACAATCGTTTTAGCTTCCCGTCTAACAGATTCCATTCCGGAAAGTAGCACAAAGCGAAGCAACAATACGTTGATACATTGTTATTATTTTTACAGCCTTTCACAGGAGGAAACAAGAGAAAGAGAGGAGCTTGTGTATCTTATTTCGACCGTATCACAAGTTCAAGGAAGTTGGATGGAAAGATATTAGAAATATTTTAATACGACACCGTTGTCTGGATTTCCCACACTATTTTTGGACTCCGACAATATCACACTCATTCATTCCGACCTGAGGACCGACCGGTTACACTACAATTACACCTACGAGGGCTCTGGAATAACATCGCACACGAATTAAAACTAATCTCACCACTGTCGTCCACTGACAAGCAAACACATTTGAATTTTTTGCTCTAAAGACTCTGGAAGCCAATCAAGAGTCGGTGATATATCCGTCAGCGGTAAGTTTGTTGCATCTATGGTTACCCAATCCAATATCCCGAGTATGGAATAATATTGTATTCGGGTGACATTGAAATGAATCAATCAATTTTGGTTTGAACCAAAAAAAAGAACAAAATCGAGTCAAGTCACATCAAGAACGAATGAACGCCTCGGATATCGTGGCTCTCCAACATGCTCTCCGCCATGCCAATCCCATGTCTCTCGTCTGGCGCGGGAGAGGCCGGTGGAGAAGGACCCATTTGCAAGGTGACTCGCGCGGAGACTTAGTCTCGACTTGTCGTCATGCACGCCTAAATTTGGGTATCCTTCGCATGCTCTAGTTCTTTCGCTTGTGCTTCCTCTTTCCTGCTCCTTGCATCTCCCACACCACGACAGGTCAACGCAGGCCACGCCGGACAGTGACCCCTTCATGCGTAGGAACGGCCGCATGAAGTCTAAGTCTGGTCCTGGTAGACACCTGCTGCGCCTGTTTTGGCTGTGTCGTGCTTCGACGTCTACCTGCCTAAGTGGTTAAGTTCCATATACTGATCGGAGTGTTTCATGATCTTTTAGGCACAAGTTGCGTACGTCGGAAGGTTACTTGCCTCACCCACGTCTATACCTTTACTCTATACCTTTTAATTTATAAGATACAATGGAGGCCGCTGGTTTCCTCTACTATTCTCCGGACCCACAGGGCCGACAGCAGAAGCAGCACGGTCACCACGGTCACTTCTTAGCACAACCGAATGCTGCATACACTATCTCTGCTTCACCGCAGTTGCTTGCGCCAACTCCAATTCATTTCCCATCTCAGCTGGTTCTAGGTGGACGAGGTGTTCCTCTTACCATTACTCCTTCGGCTTCCCCATCTTTAATGGAGCCTTACCGTGATATGTGCTCCGAGTCTGCGACCACGGATCTTCTGTTCAACCCTGCTACTCCTCCTTTGACCCACAGTGCCGTCAGCACACCATCTCTTTCTTATGCCATGCCTACTCCAATCAGCAACCACGGCTGGTCCTCTGAGGAGCCCGTTATTGCCACTGTATCTTTGTCCGATATCCACCTCCCAAGCACTCCAGCCGATTACTTTCCACGTAAGTACCAATAATAACCTTCGAAATAGTAAACGGTACAAAAAAAGCATCTTTCTAACAGTTCCTGCTATCGATAGCTGGCCTTGTTGCTCCATCGATTTTGAAGTCTAATGCTAGCCCACCACCATCAATTTCTTTGAATGATTTGCACTGCCCAGCTCTTTCTCCATGCTCTTCTCAAGATTCCTTCAACGAGTCTGACTGCTGTGACCCACGGGAACTCACCATTCAGTCTCCAACCCCAGTTGAGATTAAGCCAGACATCCTCTTCCCACCAATGGCTTCCCTCAGCGGTGATGATGACCAGTTCCTCTTTGGCGGCAATGTCGAGTCTTTCCTCCCATTGGCCTCCAAGGTTACTCCATACATGGCTGGTGACTACAACGAGGAACTCTCTGACTTGGGTGATTCCGAAGACGACTTCATTCAGAACTTCTCTGAGTCTGTCTTCTCTAACAAGCGCATGAGATTCGATGACGACTCCGAGAATGAGCAGCTCCCAAGCCCACCCATGTCTACATCCTCATCCCGACAAGGCTCTGTTGCCCCAATCAAGGTCCTAAAGCGAAAGCTCCTAAAAGTCAAGAAGGAAGATACCCCAGAAGAGATGTCTGAGGAACAGAGACTACGATCCTTCAAGTTTGGCTCCATCGACAGCGCCTGCAGCTCTGAGCCCTCTTCCCCATGCTCTGAAAAGCACTCGCATATGGTTGGACACCCAATCAGCCCACACGTCATCCGACGAGGACGCAAGCAGTCTTTGACTGAGGACCCTTCCAAGACTTTCGTCTGCCATCTTTGCACCCGTCGTTTCCGCCGACAGGAGCACTTGAAGCGACACTTCCGATCTCTCCACACTGAGGACAAGCCATTCGCTTGTGGTGAGTGTGGAAAGAAGTTCTCTCGCAGCGACAACCTCACACAGCACAGCCGCATCCACGGCACCGGCGCTGTTGTCCTTGGTGTTTTGACCGAGGGTGAGGTCCCAGTCCTCGGATCGCAGTTTATGGAAGACGAGTCAATGCATTCCCCTCAACCTTTCATTGTCGTTGACTCGATGACCGCTGCTTCCGGCGAGATCAAGGACAAGTCTTCGGATGACAAGAAGTCTCGCAAGAAGAGAAAGAGGTCCGATGAGTAAATTTACTATCGTGTGCCCTTTACGACTATATCATGACCATGCCTCATCACGATTGAACATGAAACCTCCTCATCAAGACCTTTAAACATTTTGCCTCTTTAGCTTGGGAAATCCTTTTTATACTGGGTGGTATCTGACTTTAGCTTTTTTACAAATCGGAGTACAAAGAATTTGCTTTCTGGCGTTACACAATCCAATCATTGGAGTATTCGGAATGGAAAATTGAATATTTATTTTGCATTATATTTAACATCTTCATCTTCACACATTTTTTTTTTCAAGTTTCTTCAGTTTTCTTCACTTCTTGGCTCGCTTCTTCATTTCATCATGTGAATAATTCGTATATTTGTATATTCGATTCTCGTGCAGGAGCGCATGCCTTCCTTCTTACCTTTTTCTATTCTTCCTCGCGATTTGCGATGGCCTATTCACACACATTTGATACTTTATCCATTTCTTCTTTTCAACAATACTTTTTTGAGATTTTGCATTTATATTTCGCTTCTCTTACCATTTTGATTTTCTTACTATTCTATGACAAACTCATTACTACCATATTTTTCTCTCATTCATGAATTTGCGTTTTTATGTAGCTAGACGGAATAATTACAACATTGTCTCCAAAAATAAACCCTGAGATCTTCAGCTTGCAGGTGGAATTTGCCTTACGATTGAGCCTAGAATCCTATGGGAATACCGATCGATTGAGCCAGCCCTTTGCCCCAAATACCAAGAAACAACCGGCACCCAATTAAACATTTTAGCTTAACCCTCGGATATCTCATCATCATCTCAAGATGACTTTTTCGCTTCTAACGAGGCCTTAGCGCAAGAACACCCTTCAGAGCGAATCGGAAATCGCGAAGCTTTCCAAATAAAACGTTAAACCCATGTAAATCTTCTGGTGTGAACGGAAGGCTTTTTTTCTTGCAAATGGGTTAGGGATCCGTTCCTTGGTGCTGGGAAGAGGGTCAGAGAGAGAGGGAGAGAGGCGAGAGGCGAATCCGTCAGAGAGGATGAGCTGACGCTAAGACGAAGGATATTACCATAATTGTAGTCATATTTGAGTGAGCACGCGATTTGTGAAATGGGTTTTGATACGGTGGTAAGAGTTCTAGGCTGGAGAGTTTCTTGAATTTCTTTACAAATATTTTCCCTTCGATAATGCATCGATGCGGTTGCCTTTCATGCAGGCCTGAAACCTTAAAGGACATCTATATAGAAGGCTTTTCGAGGCGAATGTCAGGTACCAATGTTTGGGGGTGTTCTTTTCTCATGGGGTGTGTGTTACACATATTGTCAGTCGTTCTGTCAGTTCAACGAAAGCCACTCGCATTATCAACGTGCTTGATTGCATTATTAACTTCGTGGGAGTGCATAAGTTGCTATTTGTTTATCTCGGCTCTTTTTACGGGTGCCCTTTCTGAGGTTTACTGTTTTGGAACTAGTGAGACTTGAGAGGTCGCCGAAGGGGGAACCTGCCGGGAGGGTTCATCCTGATGTTTGGGGCACGAAATCCCAAGCTTCAAAACCGGCCTCGCTCGAGAAAAGGAAAAGAGTGCCCCACATTGCACGTTTTGGCTTAGAACTTGTTTGATCCAAGAAGCAAATATCACTCTCAAGAAAGAACAAAAAAAAAAAGGTACGAAATTTGAGATTCCCAGGCCAGTGGGTTGTGGGAGAGCCCAATTCACCTGCCTGTTCCCACGCAAGATACGCGAAGTAGTTTTGCAGACCTGGCGGACATTTGGATATCCAACCAGCTAGCGTCGAAATGCCGAAATTGGTCAACCAGATGCGAAGTGGCAAGCCGATGCAAATGCTAATGTCGGTCCTTGGATAACTTAAATTTGGTTTATTATGACGATGAGACGACGATTGTCACGTTTTTTCCCTCTCTGTAAAGTTCTTTTTGGGGGCTAATTTGGGACTAGATCTTGTAATTATAGAAGCACTCGAGTACTATCATTATCAAATGAAATGAACTTAACTTTTCTTGAAGGTGAAATGGAGATGATAGTCACATATCCACAACCTGCAGTTCATCTTTGCTGCAGATTTGTCCATTTTGTTACATGTATCGTGTAAGTCTTTCCACTGCCGCATGCCCTGGTATGATCCGTGGCAAGGCCCGCGTTCGGACGGTGCCATACCATCCATCAGAAGGGGATCGTAGGACCCAGAAGACCTCTAAGCTCCCCACTTCCCGATATCCCATCAGGATGAGAAGGAAAAAATTGACCAGTTTCAGTCAAAGGCCGTGCCATTCCACTATAGTCAATATCACAACCTTTCTTGGTAATATAGCTGAAGCACGAATTAAATTCAAATTGAGAGGTTCTTGTTCCCAAATAATTCCAACATCCCCGCAACTACGCCAGACTGCATTCAGTAGGCTCTTAAGATCCCTTCTTGCTACCATGCAGTGGGTGTGTTAATACTATGCGGTGGGGAACGACATGTTTAATGGATGTAATGTACACTTATCACGGCCCCCACTCGGTGTTCGAAGGTTTTCCTTGAGGATCCACAATGCGCACCAGCTGGGATCGAGTTGATTCGACGGCAATGTTATCCAGCTGCCTTGCCTCTCCAATCAGGGTAAATCGGCACTTGCAGCTATTTTACAAAACAGCTATATATGTACTTACACGGATATGTAATATCGTGATATCCCAGCGCAGGAGAATAATTCCTAGGAATCCCCACCTTACTTCGTCTCGAACACCCTCCAAGGATAATCCTTCTGTGATATAGACAATTGTAGCTGATATCCTTCTTTAGATAGACAAGATATCATCCAATAGAGTAATTGGAGAGACGAAAACGGCTTATAGTCTACTACAACAACGGCCAGCCCGCTTTTTTATTTGCAAATGTAATGTCAGATAAGTCTCGAAGCCAGGCAATTGCTTGTGGGTCGATCTAGACCACATATCAACACAACGGGCTGAAGAGACGTTAAATGTCAAAAAAGTGACAAAAAAGAAACCCTTGGTAATATGATCCCCCTTGCATCTTCCGAGGCCGTCAAAATATCAACCATGCTGGGTTCTCCTGCGTCGCCGCTAAAAAGTGTTTGTCGGATACAAAAGTTTACCGAAGATTAAAAAATAAAACAAAAAAAGTCAACTCGTCTACCGATGAGTTGTTGTGAATGTTACAAGTGGAGTCAAAGGGGATCGAACCCTTGCCCTTCCGCATGCAAAGCGGACGCGCTACCACTGCGCCATAACCCCAGTTGTTGGAAGATTTATGGTCATTTACGTTATAGAAGCTTACACGCGTAGGCGGACACTTGGAAGCTTGTGCTTTGAAGCTTCACTAAGCTGATATTTTGAACATTCGGTTTACCGTATAATACTCGATTTTAGGGCAAAAACATACACAATTGACTTGAAAACAGGGGACGGGGCTAAAACTTAGATCAGTAATCGTTGCTATCCATTTCCTAGTTTTTTTGATGTATTTTAGCGTGCTTGACTCCGTCGTTATCAGGATTATTACTAGTGTACTTCATAATACTAGACTGTTGATCTGTAATATAATGCAGGACATAAAGTATTTGCTTAAGCTTGACAGCGCTATGTGGTAATGTGGCAGATGACTGTACTATAGTTACTTTGTCGTCTCGGTGTCAGAACTGCCCCGTTACTTTGCTAACGGACGGTAGTCTATAACTAAAAGTTTTCACAGACAATTTTTGGGAAATAACGACACGGCTTGAACGGGTCCGTGTATCTTTCAGCTCTCGGACTCCTCGCTATTCTACACAGAGTACTTACAATATAACTCATAACCCTGGCTGTCCTATAATAGACACGAAAAGGTTCGAAAATATTCTATATTTGAAAGATTCCCCGGGCACTGGATCACCTCCTCGTTTGATGCCAGCCTATCGCCTCGAATTTCAGGTTCCGGCATTGTGCATGAATTTCTCGGAACGTTTTCCTTCATCCGAGATGCTGGGTTGCGGAAGTAAGGGACCCGGTGGCTTGATCGACACGGAATAACTCGTCTAACAAACCGTTTACCGCGACTAGAGTTCCGCTGGTGCCCGAGGATCGAATGATCGTGGGCCGACAATACAATTGCTTTAGTCTTTTTTTTTCTCTCCCTAGGGTTCGCGGGTGTGCTTTTAATGCCTTAAACCTAAAGCATCGTTTCTCTTCCTATGATGTATCGATACATCTTGACTACTAGCCGGAAAGGTCGATGCAACAGACCTTAATAGCTCCGTTTCAGAGACCATCACGGCTTTCTTTGAGGGCATAGGGAAGAATATGCGAACATCTCAAGAAGTGGGCCTTAGATGCAGGGGTAAAAAACCATCAAACGGCAATATGTGGCGGGGTACTAAATTGTTCGCGGAAATCCTTTTACATATTGTACGTAAATGGTAGACGTAGCATAGTCTCAAGGCAAGGCGTAGTCGAGATACTAGTACCAGGATCGGAAGTATCGAACCTTACTAGCTCATCCTAACGTTCCGTCCGCATCGTAACGGATGGTACCTGAATTTCGTGAAGAGGCAAGCTAACATATCGCGATCCCGCCGCGACACGACGGTCGCTTTCTTTTTCGTGACCCGAAAGTCCAGAACATTGAACGACGTCTTTGCACGGGTGATCGGCGTGGACCGCAGTTACTATTTTCGTTGGGTGTATAGCACTATGAGCTGATTGGTGAATTGCCAACCGCCCAAGGACGGCAAAAAATTGCGTGGCAGAATTTTTCTTTAAACTTTTTAAACTTTTTCTTTGTTTTTTGTTTTTTTAGTTGTGCAAAAAAAACTTGTTGGAAAGATTACAAAAATTTGATAATCGATCTGAATGATTTTCGAGGCGTCGATGTGCCGTTCGCCATAGATGGGGTCATGCATCGCTGTAGACGCTTGTGGTACTCGAAATAGTAGTTGATCCTACAGTAGTTTGTCCAGAACCGCTCGGAAAAGTTCCGTGGAACTGCGAAATGCAATGTCACATCGCATCGATGGATTTCTTAAATTTCCTGCAGAATCTTGAAAAAAATGTGGAGGAATACGTGTTGTCTTTTGACTCTGTGGTATTTTGGACCCAGCAACGCAAGCTACGTAGCCTGCCCGTGACGGCCTGTGGCGTCTGGGCATGGTGGAATATCACGAGGAAGATGTGATCTCTTTGTTGTCATTGGAATATGTTGCTTTTTTTTTGTCCTGGCTTCCGGAATTAGAGATCTAGCTGGGTATACATATATACGTATTTGTATTCACGTGCATGTAGGATAATTTAATGCATGCACGCTCTGCAGGATGCGAAGCTTATGCATTCTCATTGCCGACTATTGCGGGTAGATATCATTCCGGTCTTGTAAACCAGGCCACCGATTGCTCCGTGTCTCTGGGTATGTTTTTGTGGCCGTGGAAGATCTAGAGTACACGTACATGTGATCCTTAATTCCGGAATCGGTGTGGTATCGACGTCGAGGAAAGGCGTCTATTGGAGCTAGGTACTATAGTGCAGTTAAACATTGGAGTGGGCTAGATCGATGTCGATGAAATTGGTTGCTTTGTTATGTGTGGCGTCAGAGTGTGAGGGATCTGAGTATATTATCGACCGTAATCGAGAAACGAGCCATAGGGATTTTAGTACCAGATTCTAACACTAAGTTAGTGCTTTATTAATTATGAATATCATGGAGGGTAACGGGGATTTCCGTGGCGCGTGGTGGTATTCACTAAGTAGTTTCGTCACCGGTACGGGTACCATAGTCTCGAAGCCACCACTTACTCGATGATTATGATTTGCACTGCGGTACGTTAGTATGACTATGCAGTTTAAACAAGAGCAGGATATAACACAGTCGAGGAGTTTGGCGACAAGGTCAGGATATGGTATCGATACCTATATGAATATTTGTCACGTACCCAGACTTGGAAGATGGATATGAATATTCAACAGCTAGTACGAGTACCATGGTAATATTTAGTCTTGTGGTAATATTATGATAGATCTATAGAAGTCATCTTAGAACGGACGGGTTTAAAGAGGTACGTACTCCACATTATATTATATATTATAGTTATATATATATAACGATAGAATCGTTTCTACGAAGTGATAATATCGATATTGATAAGTCGGTGTTGCAACTAGCCTCGAGGTTAGTCTAGCACCTGAATTTGCATATTTGCTTGCATGAAGTCTCGCAATGTTTGCCTGTATTCAGGCCATATTCCGGAACAAGAATTTGGTAGGGTTCGATAGTAGCTAGTAGTAGACCGACAGGGACGTTGATTGAAGCCATTCTCGATCGCAATCCACATATCGATCTTGCCATGATTTAGGAAGGAGTCCCAAAGAGGATAAAGATTGCCCTGTTCTTGGTGGGATTGCAAAATGCAACTCCACAACACAAGTTTGTCAATTGATTCAGGACTACATCACAACACATTTCGCTGTGTTGTGGCTTACAAGACCATCTGAGATCCATCTTGAAGCTCTACACACACCTTATATCAATGTAATGCAATGAAGGGAACTATTTATGTCAGTTTCAAACCAAATATTCTTCTAATCACCTACATCCATCACCTCCATTCATTCGACTTTATCCCAGCATCTCTACAAACCAACTTCTAACCTGTCAATCCCTAACACCCCTTACATTTGAAAGGGACAGCAACGTAATCTCGTGTACCTCTATCAAGCTTCTTTTCGTGGCAATCACCCTCCTTGCATAAATCATCAGTATATTTAGCCATCAAAACCTCCAGCGAGGGAGCTTTCCCGAGCTGGCTAAATCGAGTTCTAGCTCTCCCAATCTGTCAATCAATAGTCGCCTGACAGAGCTTCATCCGTGGAGCTTGCTTAGAGAAATCTAACTCACATTCTTCTCGTAGTCTACGGACTTCGAGGCAAAAATCATTTATGGCAACTGTGAACAGGGGACCTAGGGTCGGTCCTTATCCGGCAGCCCAGGTTCCTAGAACTACCACAGCGAATCATTATTCTAGAATTCCTCAGTATGGGAGGAATGCTCCATATTATGTTAATCAACACCAATTCCCCGTATATACCCCTTTATATAACGGATGGGGGTGGGCTAATAGTGTCCAACCGTGGGTACCTGGAAGACCAGCAGTAGTGGGTTGGGTGCCTGTGGTACAAAGCCCTCCATGTCTTCCGGGCAGAGTACCAGTAGCTTTTAACCCTGGATTTCGTGGATTGGTGGTTGGTAGTGGCGGTACTTATAGTCAGGGAAACTATCATAATCGATACAATCATAATAATAATCATAATCCTGCAGTTAGGACAAGAAGGGCCGCTGGGACGGCCGTTGGGATGGGCATCTCGGCGTGTCCTATAGTCCCCAGCAACACAGCTACCAACTACTATGTGCCACAGCGGCGACCACAACAGCACCGCAATCACCAACGGCCCCAACAACACCGCAGTCACCAACGGATCACAACAAAGAACTATCCTCATCCAGCAACTATTCTTCGTCCCACAACTTTACACAATCCTCATCTGCCCGTCTACAACCCTCCGCCTGCGTCTGGTACGGCTTCATATCTCCCTCAGAATCAGCCCACGATGGGCATGGTGAGGTCCTACGGCATGTCCTGGAAGTCGAATACAAACGACACTGAAGCAGCTACTCATCCCCAGGTTGAAACTTCAGCTCCTGTCGTATCTCCTATGCCGGTGCCTGTTAGGGAAGACTCCGACGATTCGTGCGACTCCATTCTCAAGAATACACCCATCTTCCCAGACAGTTCTCAGGACACATCCCTTCCTTCTATTCCACAGGCGTCCTGCCAGACTACTCTCCCTTCAAAGGAAACGAATGCAACTATGTCATCAGGAGCAAGTACTGCTCTAGAACAAATGACAGAAACAGTCTCTCGAAGACTTGATAAGACAATAGATACCGAGACAGTATCGAAGGTTTCAGAGCCAGCCCCGATGTCGGCTCCTAACAAGAATAGGTCAAGTCTTCCGGAAAACCCCAGGCTTTCAGGTCCTTCTTGTAATAGAGTCCCTAAGAACGATAAGAATAAGCAGAGGGAGCCACAGTCGACGAAATCTGCTGCCCGGGAGCAGGCAAATAACAAGCCACAACCAACTCAGCCCAAGCAACCCCAGAATACGCCAGCCATCGAACTAGAATCCGGGGACATGAAAATTAGAAAGGTAGACGAACGAGCTGGGTATATTAGGGGTTCAGCTAGTGGCGGGAAAAAGTATAGGAAAGGTAAACATAACAAAAGTGGCTCTGTCACCTCGGGTAAGCTGACGAGGAGTGGCTCAAGCAACTTCAGGTGAGTACCGTACCACTTATCGATAGTAGATATGGTTCCATGGTTAACACCCCTCAAGTTCACAGGGGAAACAGGGCGTATCTGAGGTTGCTTCACAGGGGAATAAGAATCTTAAAAACAAGTCAACACCAGAAGAAAATAGACCTTTGTCTCATTGCCTTATCTCAGGAGGCTCGGCAGCATCTACATCTCGAAGAAGACGGAACCTTAGCGCTTCTTCATCGACTGTTCTTCCACGACAAGGAGATTCTCAACAAGAGAACATAACTCCTGCCTCGAAAGTGAACCCCTCGGTGGCAACTATAAACCATGCGAATGATGTGGCGTTTCTGCAAGCAACTTCCGACAGACGGCTTGAGATTTCCTCCACGTACAGCCAACCGACAATAGTGGAAAATTCTACGCACACTGCACTTGACGTTCCCGTGCTGCGGGCGAAGTATGAGGTTCCCAGCGCCTATTCATATCAACAACCTGAAAGAACGATGTTTAAGGCTGAGAATCGACACTTCTATGTACCGCAAACACCCGTCCAGCTAATTCAGAAAGGATATTCAATGCAGAATTCCACAGTCCCAGCTTATCATGTTGGTCAGAATCAAGTTCCATATAACCAGAAACCTCAATACCCAGCTATGCGATCACAGATCCCACAACACCATCAAGCCTATCATCAAAACCTTCAGCCACACCAAGCTATTCATCACCAACGCCAGCAGAACCAACAAACCTATCAAACCCATCAAGTTCACCAACAGGTTCAAACACAGGGATTCCACCACAACTTAAACCCAGCTAAGCGGGGACCTGACACCAAAAATGGGTATGCGCTACCTCATATCCATACTCAGCAACGTATCCAACATCAACAATATCCTAGTGGCAACTTTCCCTTTCATCAGTCACAAACTCAGCAAAAGCCACCACGATTCCAAGGGGCTACTACTAGTCACACCGCACCACCCACCCCGCACCGCAGTAATAGATATGCTGCCAATGCGGTTAATCAGAATGCTTATGCTGGGGCACCCTATCATCGGTTTGCTACTACACAGGCCAGTAACGGGAATTATGGTGGTAACATAGTCCCGGAATTCAACCGGGGCCATATACGAAACCGCAGCAACCAAAGCTTGCACGATTACGGACGAAATTCAAAGAAGCCTGCTATCGTACAAGCCGCACGATACAAACCACGCTCACCATCGCCACCCCCTATAGTCAAAATGGCCGTTCGAAACAAAAAACTACTTTGGCCAATCGGGCCGTTCATTCCTTTCAGCACGAAGATTTGTTCGCCATGGGAACTGGATAGCACAACTTTCGTAAATGTTTTCTGTACTACAGTGGGCGTTCTACGACTTCCTTTCTCAGTTGAATTCCTTCGAACGCTGAAGTCTGTTCTCCCGCCAAAGCACGGTGACCATATCATCACGTTTCCTACGGCGCTAGCGGATTCGGCGGATATGACACCTTACTGGGAGAGGTGTTACTATTGCCAACAGTTTCTATTCAAGTATGCAAAACATTTGGGGTTCAAGCCCTTCGAAAAAATTCCGATGAAGGACTGGCCTAGGGTCGAAATCATGCTGGGCACTGATAACACCGAAAACTCGAAATTTAATATTTATCTTAGCCAGCCGGATGAGAAGCGTCTACTTTTCCGCTGCGTCGAACAGAAGTTGGGGGACTCGGATAAAGCACCAAAGGCAACCTTCTTTGTTACTGTGCACCAGACTGGAGTTAACCAAGTTCAGTACTCCGATCCTGATCTTCAGGACGATAAAGTGACACTTCCTCCCCTCGATGGTAGCCGCGATCCCCGTACAACTCCGGAATTTCAGTACAACCTTCCGCATTATCTTTGTTTGAACGAAAGGCGAGGTATTTACGGCTGCGGCTTCACTGATATCGGTGTCCCAGCTAAGCGCCTGAATTTCCACCCCTTTGGTAAAACCAACTTTGATTCACTTTGGTATGGTATGGCTCACCTACAGGAGCTTGTCATTGCCGACGATAATGCCAGTATCATCGATGCAATGTGCTTTGATCCCGACTACGTTTTCGGAATCCCAAATGTGGTTGGTTATTGCAAGAAAAGGACGGCGGTTATGATGGGGAATGGAGAACCTAAGTTTTTGGAGCACGATGAAGTTCTGAAACTGAACTGTAAAGCGGCTGCCCCCCCTCCTCCCTCTTCATCTCGTCGTAGAGAACCTGTGGTTCCTAATGATGAGTTTGAACGGGAACGAGAGTCGCCACAAACGAAGTCGTCTGATGTTAATGGAGATACGAAGAGTACATCGACATAGTACTTTTGAAACCTCTAATACTCTTTTTGACTTCTCTATTACTATACAACGATTGTTCTAGCTTTTAGTATTACGTTCGTTATGGGGGATCGAAGACATTACGACATAACGTTAACCTGATTTAAGAATAAATGATGGAGGAAAAGATACTTGCACCTCACTAGCTTTAGACATAAAAAAAAAATTAAAAAAAAGATATTTTTTTAAAAAAAGAATCCGTGGAAGCGTATGTAATCTAGCAATCTAGCTACCGTGATAAATCCGTATCTACTGTGAGATGTTATCCATCGGAGTAAGTTAGTATCTATGCCACAACGCCAGATTATGTAGTATTTTGTGTGTTGCTTGTACAATTGTTCGGTTACACAAGCTCAAACAGGGATCGAATATGGAGTTTCTAGGCATGTGCATGCACCGTTGGACCGTAGGCTAGGTAGCGACATGGACTTTGGTTATCTGCGGCGTAGTAGGGCTTTCTGGCGGTCGATAGGCTTCTGTAAGGCGGCGGGTACTATAGTTCCTAGGTTTTCGCTGTAATAGTTGTAGATCCATATGTATTATCTAGAGGATCTAGAAGGCTTGAAAGTCTTTAAGCTTAAGGCTTAAGGAATAGTATACTAGTAATCAGATCATATCGAACGAATGGCTACACTGAATCAAGGGTCATCAAGATCACAAGGCAAGGTCAACGGTTACAAGATCATTCCACCACCCGTTTGCCAAGCATTATTTATGGGAAGACGGGAAGCTTGAAGGTTTTATTCGGATCGTGGCTCCCGATTTTACTGACGTTATGTTTCAAGTAGATCTCTCAATACGTCTGGCTATAGTCAAATCTGCCACATTTTGAACCGCCAGAGAGAGAAGAAGAAAAAAGCCCCCCAAATGGTACGATATGACTGAGGCGTTGACGATATTCCGGCTAAATAGAATGATGGTTCGACGGCGGATGTATGCGCATGCATGTGTATGTTATACGCATGTCTACCGATCGCGAGGATGTTTAAATAGATATCTATACTTGGCCGGGGTATATAGGCGGCTGCCGACGGGTAAGAATTCGAAGCTGATGAGTGGGTATTTAGTTGATGAGCGCTCTTGAACGGAGCCGGGAACTTCGTACTCTGCATAGATCGATTTCGGTTTCTCATTCGAAAGATGTATGCATAATCATTTGATCAGCTAGGGGTGTTTCACTACAATTGTACTGCTACAGATAATGAATATCTTGAATGCTAGGTAGCACTAGGCCGAAACACCGAAAAGTTATGTACGTATATCTTGGCTGCTCTACTGGCAACATAGATATATAGTGAGACCCGAGCACCCGAGATTTACTAGGATATATCATTTAAAAAGTGGGTTTCTATTATAATATTAGGAAAAATGATACATTCGTTGTACAAAGGGTCAGTTTCCTCAGAATTCTAGAAAACTCTTGGATATGTTGCCATTTGTTCAAACTCTATCGTTAGATCTGACACCAGGATTAAGATCATGATCAATAATGAGCATCCATATCCTCGCAGGCAAGTGTTTTATTTGAAATGAAATCCCGGGAAAGAAAGTGATCGTACCCGTCTTGCGGCTTCATAGGAGGCGCAAACTTGCATCACAAGAAACATGGAAACCATTTACGAGCTGTGCATCATCCCGAGCTTCGAGTCCGATCTTCTTCTTTTTTTGACTTTGCATAGATCATGTTATTCGCTACCCGGAGGCGAATAGAGGCTATTAACGAATTGTTATCACCCTTCCGACTCGTCCGACGGGATTATAAAAATCAAGATATACGGAGTAATTGTTTGAGTTTTCGCTCTTGAGACTTTAGCCTAAACTAATTGTATGGGAGACCCTCTGGTGAAGCTTAGACAACTAAGGATGGTATCTCAAACAATCCCCACATACTAATAAATTAATATCTAGCTTTACTCGTGGATACGCAAAGCTAAAGGGTGCGAAGAGGTAGGCTCGCTAGGTATCGTTAACCGGCTGATTCGCACGTGTGCTACCATGTTGTGCATATGATTTTTGGACCCAGAAATGCAGCCTGTACTGTATAGATTGATCAAATGAACAATAAATTATATCCATACAGCCATATTTCAATAACTATGGTTCGTCTCAAATTTCCCTTTTAACCGCTTCTTATTCCGTAGTTTCTCGCCAAGAACTGCCCAGACTTAGATGGCATTTACCCAAGCTAGATATCCTGAACTCTTGAATTTTTGGCTAAATACGGCCCTTTTTCGTTTCCATTATAAAAGATTCAACATGGGATGATGATGCCTGGGGGTACGGCAAATACCCCGCTGCTCCCGAAGATTGGCCTCCTGTTGGGCTTGCGATTCTGGGGTACTTCGAGCGAGCCGCTTGGCGTCATTGCATTGCCTTGGTATTGTGATAGAAGATAAAAATTTGCCGCCTCGTTTAGGATCGTCTATTATAATGACTTCAAATATGATAGGATTGTTGAAGTATATGGCTTTTCATGTAAGCACCTGAATATGGTAGCCGTGTGTTGGGTCCGAGGTTTTCCAACGTGACTGCGCTCAGACATCGTCTAGTTCGAGGGAGCCGTTTCAAAGTGCCATTTGCACTTGCCATTTCTACACAATCCGAATATGAATCTTAGGCAGTCAGGCTTGATCTACTTTCCGACCCACTTGCTTCACCAGCCCTAATAAACTTCCGACATATTAAAAACCGCTGCTAAGTACCCTGGAACACCCACGGCATAAAATTGTCGAATGAAAGGCCTTCGTTGGCGGGCTAAGAACTGGGGCAGCACCCCTGACCCTACTAGTCACGTTAATCAGGAAAAACGGCTGTCGTACCGTCGATTGCAGAACACGCTGCTCTAAGCTCTGTCAGTCGAAGAAAGGCAGACTTCTGACTTGGCGAAATACACTGGTATTGAAGATTAATAAGGCCATGTCCTATTATTATAGCGACCGCCTTTTATGCATTTACCCAAATTACCCATTCTGGCCCAAAGGAACGAAAAGTGCTTGTACCATGGCATGTTGTCGAAAACTAACCACCTCAACTCGTCACAATGCGCCGGAATGCAAATAGCGATATCCCGAGAAATGGAATATTTCGCCAGTTCGACTAGCTTGAACTTGTTCCGTGCATGGGTCAGACCCAGGGTCGCCAATCCGATCACGATTGTATCTGAAAGTTAATCCAAGCTAGAGTATATGGCAATAGAAGGACAAGGATTTGAAGATGTATAAAAAGGACGCCAGTTGACTTCTTCGATGGTGATTTTTTTTCAACAAGTCATCACGACCTCAAAGAACATCTACAGTGGCTGGTAGTTCCTCAATCAATAAATCAATCAATATGGTTTCTTTCTCTACTCTTCTCGCAGCTAGCTCTGCAATTGTTGGCGCCCTAGCCGTCCCGGGATTCACCCCTTACGACAGATCCCTTTTCCCTCGTGCTGGAACTCCAAGCGCCACTGGTACCCACGATGGATACTACTTCTCTTGGTGGACTGATGGTGGTTCTCAAGTCACCTACACCAACCTTGCTGGTGGCGCATACAGCGTTGTCTGGCAATCTGGAGGAAACTTCGTCGGAGGAAAGGGATGGAGACCAGGTGGTCGCCGGTATGATTAGCTTCAGTATAATATTGATCTTCGAAATAACTAATTTTTCTCCTCGTAGAACTGTTAACTACTCCGGTAGCTACAACCCCAATGGTAACTCCTACCTCGCCATCTACGGATGGACCAGGAGCCCATTGATCGAGTACTACATTGTTGAGAACTTCGGTACCTACAACCCATCTTCTGGTGCCACCAACAGGGGAAGTATCAATATCGACGGCAGTGTCTACGACATCTTGGTCAGCACCCGAACCAACCAGCCATCTATCGATGGAACTTCGACCTTCCAGCAATTCTGGTCCGTTCGAAGGAACAAGCGAAGCTCTGGATCCGTCAATGTCGGAGCCCACTTCGACGCCTGGGCCGCCGCTGGTCTGCAACTAGGAACAAGCTTCGACTACATGATCTTGGCCACTGAGGGTTACTTCAGCAGCGGATCTGCTACTATGTCTGTTGGATCGGGCGGCAGCACCCAGCCAACTACCACTCCTGGTGGACAGCAAACCACTTCCACACCGAGAACTACCACTGCTGCAAACAACGGTGGTGGCGGCAACTGCTCTGCTAAGTGGGGACAATGCGGTGGTATTGGCTGGACCGGAGCTACCTGCTGCCAATCGGGAAGCACTTGCCAATCTGGAAATGCTTACTACTCTCAGTGCTTGTAAGAGATGAAGATGTTTTAGGGAGCAGGTGCTATGATACAGAATAACTTTGGGGTTCTTAAGCTTCGCACCCCCCAATTCAAACGACCTGCTTCATGGGTGACTAGGAATTGAGATTTTTCCGAGTATTTAGCACTTATCTGTAAATATATATATGAAGGATGTATATAGTATTCTGGGAATTGAAATTGCATATGCATTTTATATTCTAACTGATAATTTTGCAATATTTAAATGTACTCGAATGAGACTAAAGCTTCCACCTGAGAACAAGACAAACTTGCCCTTAATCTCTAGAGCTTTAGTTGGATTTAAATAATCACCCTGGCGTCAGTGTTAGTGCTATCTTGTTGAGACTAGTCCCAGGTCTCGTAACCAAGCTCTGTCTTATGTGATGAGCTAAGCTGGTTTAGTGTCGAGACTGCCCAAGTGATCCAACACGAATTTGACCCAAAATACAACACTCGTTGCTCTAAAGACGGTTCCTGCACTGGCGGTCTTTCTTACAGCAACAGAAGCCATCGTACATCCCTCTTCATCACTCCATCAACCATCTACCACCATGCTGTCAATTCAGTATTCCATCCAAGTCCTCAGTCTTCTCTTCAGCTTTTTGAAACCCATCAACCTTTAAAAACTGCCAATCCACTCCTTCTGCAGCTGTTGTTCTCTCCACTTACTCGGCCTCAATCTTCGACGAAGCCAAAGGTCAAAGTTTTGAGCTCTAAATTATTGACGAAAATGTCGACGCGTCAAAGTTACCCAGGAGGTCCTCGGGATGATGAAGACCTCGTCCAAGCTACTGACAACCTTCATATTGCGAGCCCTATGCCATGGCGGCCATTAGCTCCGGACCTCGGGATAGCTTACCCTGATAGTGAACTCCCAGTATCAGGCAGTGTGCGATACTCTCCATCACCATTCTTCACTTCTCCCGGGTCGACTCCATCGATATCCCTAGCGCATGACTCCGGGTTTTATACCCCATTCCACCAATACCAGTCCTCTCATCCGCCTCAAGCTCGAGAATATGAACCTGAACCATTTGACCAAACATTCCTCAACGAAGCTCCACAAGAACCAAATCAATCACAAGCGCAACAGGTACCAGCAGGCCAAGCTGCCTCCCAGAGCTTCCCTATGTTTTCACCTGGGGGCCCTCACGACGCTTATCAACAAAGCTACGCATTTCAACAACAAATCCCGCAAGAATACCAATCATATATGGGAGAGAGAAGACAGGGTGATCCCTTGCAGAGAGAACAATGGATAGGACCAGCGGGACAGCTCTACCCTGAATCATCTAGCTATGGATCCCAATATGGCCAAATTGGATGGGATGCCCAATCTGACTTTGACGACCGTTGTAGCGTTCAGAGTTACATGCAGGAGAGGGAGCCCTTTACCAGCCCACAGGAAATGGAAAACCCTTTTTTGTCTGGCCGTGGGAAGGCAAGATCAGATACCGAAGGAGGAATTCGCCAGCTGTATAGACCGGAAAACTATTCCAATTTTGCTAAGAAAATACAGCATGCCGATACCTCTAATTTCGTGTTCCCACCAAAACAGCGAGCAGAGGCCGACACTCGATTTACGCCTTCGATCCTCCCACAACGGGTTGAAATGGGGACACCGGTCTCAAATTCAGACAAAACTCGAGATGATAAAGAGAGAACACCCACAAAAAGCGTTAAATCGGATCAACAAAGCCAGAAGGTGTGGGAGTTCATGCCACGCCCGTCCACTGTGCATGGTCGTCCAGTTCACTACGAAAAGGAGAATGAGATCGATCACCAAGAAACAAAAAGTGTTTCAGAGGCTGAGCTGGCAAAAGAGCCCTCATTTCAGACTCCGGAAGCGGTAGCGGCTTTGAAGGCGGAGGCGAGGAGACGAATTCAAGAACAGTTCAAAGCCCAGGTCGCCAAAAAGCTGGAAGAGAGCCAGCGGGTAATAGAGCCAATATCCATTACCAATGCTGCCTACGACAGAATGAATAAACTGGGGCTATTAACTCATCCGGCTCTTCAACTCGGTTTACTTCATGATAAGCCAGATACTCGTAATATCCACGAAAAATTCAAGGCACTCATACAGAGCATTAGAATGGAGGAATCATACCAAATGGGTATTCACTTACAGCTATCAGAGAAGCTATTGCTGGACCTAAATTTAACAAGATGGAATCTTCTATGCGCCAAGGACAAAGGGCCAACACCCATAGTAACTCCGTTTGAGTTGATGGGGGTTCCGATGCCAGAACCTTATGGAGAGTTTGTGAATGAAGACGCGATTTCTCCAAGAGACCTAGAGAAGGATCATATGACCCCTTTCCCTCTCAAGAACGCTCCGTTGAGCTCTTACTCAATGACTAGAGAGATCCAAATTCGGACGGGTAGATACTACGAAAGAAATCAATATGCCGAGTCGAATCCCCAGGCCTTGAACAATGAGGGTGTGGAAGGAAACCCCGAAGAAAGAGACTTCCACTTCAGGGTTAAGCCGAAACATTGGCAACTGCCAGAGGACTTTCAGAAAAACTATCCGTCTGCAACACGATGGGAAGAGATCTCCATCATCAAGACTTATCATCAAGCCCTCACTGTGCAGCAGCACCTCTATCTCTCGTTTGTAAACCTGGGACCTACTTTCTTCGTAGACTGGGTGCAATTATTGATGGCGAAGGAGAGAGAAGCTTTATTAGTTAGGGCGTTTAGTCTTACTGTGAGGATGAATTCGGACGATTCTCACGAATGGGTTGACAAGGAGTGGATAGGGCTCTCGGAAGAAGAAAGGGAAAAACGAATGGGACAGATTCCTGGGCTTCGAAATGAAGCCTTGGAGTTTAGGCTTTCTGACTATCGGGAAGTCGATGAAAGCAATTTCCCCGTACCCTTTAGCAAAAGCACGTACAAAGATATCACAATCAACATCAATGAATCCCCAGCACCGCCGAAAGACCCTCCAGAAAAGCCTATGGCGATTTATTCTCTCTTTTGCCACGAATTGCATCCTTATTATCTCGCCCGGGATCCACACTTGCTTGAGACCATTTTCGATCAATGTCTTATCATGCCCGATTTGAAACAATTTCCTAGGGATCTAAAAACACTTGGAGAGAATTACTTTTGGAAGCCGGCTATGAGTATAAAGGAGCCTCGTAAAGTGATTTTGGGTAGAGAACTCGAACACAACCTACCGTTCATGCCTGGTATTCCACTTGGGCCCAACATTCTGGAGCGCGTGAGAGCCGATAGGACTTTCTTTTACTCTGCGTTTTTTTATAATCTCCTGACTGTTTGGAGAGATTACAAGGACGAAAAAGTCTGGTTCTACGGAAATGGTACGCCCTATCGATACGATCCCAACAAACCACCAGCCAATCTAGGACAACCAAAAAGCAAGTTTCCAAAGGGCGAGAAATGGACGGACGGAAGCGAGATTGAAAAGCATGTTGGGCACTTGCAACAATTGATTGATATACTGAATTTGGGGTTCTTTGTGGAGAGTTGGGTGCCCGAAGATGATGCATTGAGAGGGAAGGATCCAGAGCGAGAATCTTGGTTTGGAGGGAAGCGGAGTACTGTTACTCAACGGGCGCCATCACCACGCATGAAAGAGTGGAAGAAATATTGAGATGATGACTTAGATGGGAGTAAGTAGTAGCCCTATGCCATATACCCTGGGTGGGAGTCATTCGATTGAAACTGTGCTGACGATTGCGCAGTTAGGGCGGTGACTCTGAACTTCGAATAAAAACACTAAATCTCTTAGGCTTTACCTTTATTCTGTATGAACCTCCATATTATTTTTGAAAAGGAGGTATTTGTTTTTCATTCATGCCATAGCATAGCGACATTGTTTATCATGCCCAACCTACTTGTATTCAGCCGTCTTTTTATTTTCGAGGCTTTCTGACGTGTCATATAGACATTCTTTTAGCGAAAGGTGAACTACTAAAATGATAACTATTGTTTAATTGATTTGCGAAGCCACAAGATACGTGAATCTCGCACTGGGAATTAGGTAAATGCTAGGTGCGACATAAACCGTTTGAAGAAGAGACTATATCTTGTTCTAAGCTTGCTTATGGGAGACCTTATATCCTGAACTCGCCTCGAATCCGCCTGTGCCCTGAACGCCTTGAAAGATCAGACGGGGGAAAAGATCCGTACAACTACCCATTTGTAATCATTGACCTAAGCTGTCACAACTTGGGACAGAACCTTCATAGCAAGATCGGACAATAGCTAGATAGGGAAAATGCGTTAGCATGCTAATAGCAGATAATGGTTAATTCAGTATGAACATGGAAACTCGCCTTGGCCTTTTCACCCTGCGGTAATTCTTGAAAGACTTCGTAGACAGACTTCCCCTTCGCATCTCGCACCGCACCAAGCCGATTACCTGCGACGGCACCCGCTACGAAAGTATTAGCCTCACCTATAATATAAATCGATTTTAAACCATCCAAACGGACAACATACCAAGCATGCCTGGAAAGTTGGCAACGATAAATCCTAAAGCGGCACCACTGACGCCTCCCATGATTCCGTAAAACCGACCTGTTGCCTTCTTCCTAGCTTCTGGGTCGTCGGCATCTTGTAGTCCCTCATCTCTCATCATTTCCTCGAAGATATCACCGAACTGGCTATCCCGCCATGACGGCGAACCACGAGGTGGGTTATACGCCCTGCTTGCATCATAGTCACGGCGGCGTGCAGAGTCAGAAAGGGTGTAGTACGCCTCTTGGACTATTGGAATCAACGTTAGATATACAATATTTAAAGTGCAAGATTTAATATATCCCGGGATTGATAAGATTACCTTCTTGGAACTTCTTGGTCCGTTCAGTACGAGTAGGATCGTTTACAGCAACTCTGTCGGGATGAGTCTTGAGAGACTGTACTTTATAAGCCTTGCGGATCTCATCCTGCGTTGCAGAGGTCGAGACACCCAGGATCGCATAGAAATCAAGGTCAACTAGGACCGGAAAGAGAAGAATGGGGTTAGCTTGGTTATACTAGCTCTGAGTAGACCCACTTAAGTTAAAACTCATGCAAAAAACAAATAAATATAAAGGCTCTATTGGTCTACTTGCCTTGGGGCATTTCCGCTGTTTATGTCGAAAGGTACGAACTGCGGTTATCGGTTAACGGTGATTCAAGCTCGTGGGTCGATGTTGCTGGTTGACCACAGCTTTGGTATAGAAAAGGAAGGTTCGTAGCGAGTATTTTAGGAATTCTATACACCAATATAGCAAGGTTGTTTACATGCCATTCATTAGGTATCTTGCTCGGAGATGACACAGTATACTTTTGGTGTCGCTATATTGCGTTCGTAGATGGACGAGACAACGTCAGTGCAGCGCGGAGGGCCTTAACTGGGGTTGAGGTTTGCCCCTCCACCGCCAAGACTTGGTTAAAACAACACGAAAGACCCTGAAAATACAACATCTCGACGAGCTTCAAACCGTTTTCTGGGATGCGAGGATATCGATACTTAAGTAGTTATTAAGATCTTTTATAATTACAATCTAAACCTATACACGCACAACCATAGAAAAGAGCGGAGTAATATGTATTTCAGCCGCATGTATATTTCATTCTAAGAAGGTAGAAGCAATGCCAATGGACCAAGCTAATATATTTTGGGTTTCTGGGCGCATATATATATCTGATCTCGCTGGGGGGCCTTGAGTCAGGAAACTGGTATTGGGGTAGGCTGAAATTTAATGAAAAACATCACCCTATTTTTCTAGTCCTAGTGTATCAAGGCCTTTTTGAGATGAATGTAACCCTCGTCATTCTGTAACGGCTAAATTGCACTATATCGAACCTCGGAGGAGCACACACGCCAGTGGATTGAGCAGGCGGTTTATGGAAGGATCCGCGGTGGTGTTTAATTTAAGCAAGGACTTCCTACACCTGATATCATATGTATTTCGAAAGAAGTTATATGGACCGAACCACTAAGGGAAATTGTTTCAATGTTTCCTCGAGTGCATAAAACATGCGTCAATAAAATAGCTTAAAAATCATGCTGCATGCAACTATCAGAAGCTTATGAGCAGATATTCTAGATCTGGATTGGGTTAATAAGCCAATCAGGTCAGTAACAACCGAAGCACAGTAAAATTCTGTCAATTTTGAATTAGGGTAGACGGAGGTTTAGATAATATCCTTGCTTCTTCATTAAATGTCACGATCTGCATGTCCTAGGTCGCTAGTAAACGTTTAATGTAGGATCGTAGCGTTTGGACCTAGCCTGGGGCGACTATGTATACCAGATACGTGACAGTCTTTCAAGTTCCTTGTTTTTTTCTTCTGGCGGCTACTTAGTAATAGATTAATATAACGGTAGTTAAGGTCGGGTTCGGTGCCCTTACAACAAGACCGTCCCGCGAGAAACTTTGATTGAGGGCAAGCACTGCGCCTCAATGGTTATTGGTAAAGAAAAGGTCGTTGGAGATATAATACCCGGTGGCCTGGATGGTCAATAATCTGTTCTTTGGGTTGACCGCAGACCCTTTAGGTTAAAGCTGGAGCGAAAAGGGCAGCAGAGCCGGAGTCCGACTTTAGCGTCGGTTGGACAGATGCAAATCGAGGTCTTGGCGATTTCGAGAAACCACAATTTCAACTCAACAACACACTCTTTTATCACTTCGCAAGCTTCATACGATATTGCAAATGTCAAAATGGGAAAAGAAATACGCCAAGCTAGCCTCGAACCGAGACCAAACCATCCGATTCCTAAGGGTTATCTGCGCGGAAACTTTTATTTGGGAAGGCTCTATAAAAGGATGTCTGGAGTCTGAAAAAAAGGATTTACCAACTTTCCCGACCATCGTCGGCCTGTCGTTCCTTGTTGTTTGATATCCCGCCGTCTGGCTCGATATCGTCCCGTTCTTTTCCTGTCGCAGGTGACTCTGTGATTTCCTACCATTAGTCTCTCGTTATTGCTATTGGTAGATTTGTGGAAGTGCTTTTTTGGAGTACTATACACATAACATTCATTTACACTTAAGAACGAACTTCAAGTCATTCATTGATTATATACACTTTGGATCGCGGCCGCGTGGAAACGGAATAGTCCAAAATGAAGCTAAATTCACAACTTCTCACGGTTTTATTGGCCGGGTACGTGAATTTCTATACTTTCGATCGCATCAAAACTGTGTTCACTAGCGCAGTATGTATATTAATATTAGAGCCTGAGTGCTAACGTTACGGAATTCACTAGTGCATCCGGCCTGCAAGGTGCTGCAGCTCAAAAAAAGGAAGACTGCAAACCGAAAAGTGTCACTCATCTTGTCACTGTCGTTCAAACTTACGTAGGGGTTGCTTCTGTCTGCGGTAGCATGACCGCACCGCCTCCCGGTAATGGCGATTGCAAGACCACCGCTAAAGTCGAGACTCTTTCTCTGGTTACCGAATTGTGTCACTACGGCAGCCCATGTAGGAGGGTTACTTTGACAACTAAGACCCCAGTTACGATGACAGTTTGCAATGGTGGATCGAAATCTAGCTCTGCTACCAGACCTGGCTATACCCCTATCAAGCCAGGTCCTAATAGCTCAGGATCCGGATCCAGCAGTTCCACTACTAAATCTGGATCTGGATCCAGCTCTACTCCAAGACCTGGATCTAGCAGTACTACATCCGGCGGTTACACGGCCAAAACAAGCTCCTCGACTGCCAAATCTGGGTCTAGTAGCTCCAGAAGCCCTACCACAACATCTGGCGGATCTGGCGGATCTGGCGGATCTTCAAGCAAATCGAGCTCCTCAGCAAGCAAGTCCGGGCCTAGCAGCTCCAACGGCTCTGGTTCCACCACATCTGGTGGTCCTTCAGTGAAGACCAGCTCTTCAACTTCCAAGCCTGGATCTAGCACTACGTCCGGTGGATCTGGCAGTTCTACAGGTAATGCCTCTACGACACCAAGATCGGGTGGTTCGACTTCCAGCTCGTCTGGCTCGAACCCATCTACCTCTGGTGGACCTGGTGGATCTACATCGAAATCTAGTACCTCGACTGCTAAATCTGGAGCTAGCACCAGTAGCTCTAGTGGATCAGGTGGTCCCACACCCAATTCCAACTCGTCGACCTCCAAGCCTGGCGGCAACAGTTCTCACGGTTATACCTCCACCACATCTAATAGGCCTGGTGGGTCTTCATCCAAGTCCAGCTCCACTACATCTGGTGGCCCTTCAGTCAAAACGAGCGGATCTGGTAGCTCTACATCTAAGCCCAACTCGTCGACAGCTAATTCTGGATCTAGCGGTCCTACTTCCAGCGGCTATACAGCCAAAACGAGCTCCTCGACTGCTAGGTATGGGTCTAGCAGCTCGAAGGGATCTACTTCTGCCACATCTGATAGATCTGGTGGATCTACGTCCCAGTCTGGATCTAGCAGCACTACACCTGGTGGCCCTTCAGTAAAGACAAGTTCGTCTAGTTCTAAGCCTGGATCTGGTAGCACTACGTCTGGTGGTTATACAGTAAAAACTAATTCCTCGACCGCCAAGCCTGGATCAAGCAGCACTACATCCGGTGGCCCTTCAATTAAAACAAGTTCATCTAGTTCTAAGCCCGGCTCTAGCAGCAGTGCGTCTGGTGGACCTGGCGGACCTGGCGGATCTACTTCCAAGCCCAGTTCCTCGACCAGCACTTCACCCGGTGGACCTTCAGTTAAAACAAGTACTTCTAGTTCCAAGCCCGGCTCTAGCAGCAGTGGGCCTGGTGGACCTGGCGGACCTGGCGGATCTACTTCAAAGCCAAGTTCCTCGACCGCCAAGTCCGGATCCAGCAGCACTATACCCGGTGGACCTTCAGTAAAAACAAGCTCGTCTAGTTCCAAGCCCGGCTCTAGCAGCAGTGGGCCTGGTGGACCTGGCGGATCTACTTCAAAGCCAAGTTCCTCGACCGCCAAGTCTGGATCCAGCAGCACTATACCCGGTGGGCCTTCAGTAAAAACAAGTTCATCTAGTTCTAAGTCTGGACCCAACAGCACTACGTCTGGCGGCTATACAGCCAAATCTAGCTCCTCGACTGCTAAGACTGGTGCTAGCACCACTACTTCTGGTGGCGCCGGTGGTTCTACCCCCAAGCCCAGCTCTTCGACTTCCAAACCCGGATCTGGCAGCTCCACTACATCTGGTGGTCCTTCAGTCAAAACAAGCTCGTCCAGTTCCAAGCCTGGATCTAGCAGCAGTGCGTCTGGCGGACCTGGCGGACCTGGCGGATCTACATCCAAGTCCAGCAGCGCCGGAGCAGGAGGCTCTAGCAGCAAGACCACAACTGGTGGTACTGTGATTGGCAAGACCGGTTCAAGTACAATCTCTTCCACAAAGCCAACCACTAGTGGAGGTGGAAGTGGAAGTGATGATGACGACGAGTACGGATATGGTGGCTACGGATATGGTGATGATAAGACGACTACCACCAAGGCCTCTACCACGACAGCTAAGAGCAGTTCCGGTGGCCCAGCTGTCAAGACCTCTACTTCTACTTCAAAGACCACTACTACCACGAGCAAGGCTTCCGCAAACTATACAAACAAGTCTTCCACCACAAAATCTACGAGCAAGGCCTCCGTTGGAAACTACACAAGCAGGTCTTCGTCCGCGAAGCCCACAAATAAGTCATCTTCCGCGAAGCCCACAAATAAATCTTCTTCTGTAAATCCCACAAACAAGTCTTCTTCCGCAAATCCTACGAATAAGTCCTCGTCGGCAAATCCCACGAACAAGTATTCTTCCGCGAACCCAACTAACAAGTCTTCCTCTTCAAACCCTACGAACAAGTCTTCCTCAGCAAACCCCACGAATAAGTCTTCTTCAGCAAATCCTACGAATAAATCTTCTTCCGCAAACCCTACAAATAAATCTTCTTCCGCAAACCCTACAAATAAATCTTCTTCAGCAAATCCTACAAACAAGAGCTCTTCCGCAAATCCCACCAACAAGTCTTCTTCCGCAAACCCCGCGGTCAAGACCAGCACGAGCACTATCAAGGCAGCTACTAGTAGCTCTAGCGCAGGTGGTAAGGTATCAACCAGCACCTCGAAAACTACTCAATCCGCCGGTTCTAGTTCGGCCACTATAACTACTGCGCCGTCCGTCGGAGCCACGGAACAGTTTTTGGAATGTCCACCATCCACTACAGTCACCGTGAGCACCCGCCTCTGCAACAAGAAACTCTGTGTTAATAAGTGCACAAATACAGCAACAAGTACAAGAATATACCCGTGCTCTTGTATCGGACATAATAAACAGGCCACCTTGACCGTTTATGTTCCGGGGCAATGCCCAGACGACTGCAGCTGCCCATCTACCACTACTTGGGTTGCACCGATGGTCGGATGTAAAACGACAACCAAGGGGGCTTCGGCTGCTAGTACCTCAGCAGTCCCAGGTGGTAAGGGCACCGAGACTTCGTCGAGCACCACTTCGGTTGCTGTTAAAACGACTACTACTACCACGGCCCAGGCACAGACCACCCAACCTGCTAGCGGATCCGAAGACGATGATGACTATGGAGGTGGTTATTATTAAACTACTTTAGCTCTGCTGCCCTGATCGGGCTATGATTAAGAACTTTAAGCGGCTGTTTGCTTTTTCTTTTACGATTTTACGATAAAGTGATGTGATATGATACGATGATATGAGCATTCTTGTTGGACATACTTACGGTATTACTCGAGCGATTTTCTTTTTGGCGGGTCTCTCTCTCCGGAGTCTCAATTCTTTCCCACCTTCACGTGTGATCACCTTCTTCCTGTTTTCTATCCGTTATCTGCTGAATATATATACACACTTCAGTGAATTCTTTGCACTTTCATTGTATTTTATTTCCTGCGATCTAGGGATGTACATATAGTTCGTATAGATATCCAGGAGGCCTGTCAGAATTTATTTGGCGGCACATTTTATGCCAATATAAAGTATTTTTACTTGGGAATTTTGACCCATTGGTAGCGAATATACCTGTAAACTCTTAACAAGGGTAGATATAGGATAGCAAGCCTGAAGTGTATCAAACTGCCTCTTTAAAGCAGGCACGGACCAAAAGTAACGAGCTTCTTGTTGGGATTCGGGTATCAGTTGAATACGGCATAGTCTTGAGGCCACACGCTCACCCACCGATTAAAGAATATTACATATAAAAATCTTATCACTACCCGGAACTGTCAGCTTGTCAACTAGCGTGAACTCGCGTTCTTAGGCGTTGCATTTTGGAGCGCCACTCTGTGCCACTGCGGCTGGTGAGTGGTACGGAACATGTGGCTTGACCTGCATGCGAACGCATCACACAATTAACCGATATATCGCCACACCACAACGGCTGATGATTGTATTACGCGGGAAACTTAATGAGTTTTGCCTTTTGTTTTCCTTTCCATGTAGGCCGGGCCGGGTTTAATTCCTGCTGGCTGGAAGTTGCATGAAGGTGCAGTGGGGTAATGCCGATGACGTCGCTGCGAAGGCATTGCACGACATCCAAGTTTAATTTTTGGTCATGGAAATCAACGCGAATCTACTATCCCAAAGAATTGTATCAACGGTTCGGAAGTTTTCACTTTTAAAAACAAAGTTATTCCGTCTGAGCTATCGTCTACTTGGGTCTGGGCAGATATGTCTTCGTTGGGAGATTTCGATAGTGCTTTACGTAGTAGAGGGTTTGTTTCTGTTCGCGGAACCGGGAAAAGCTTTAAGCTTTCCTACTCGAGTGTGATATGTGGGTCTGGCAATCATGAAATCCGTTAGCGTGGGTATCGAACCACTGGCTGGGGAGAAGCCGCGGCCTGTGCTCCTCAGATCCCTCCTGATGGAAGATCGGACACTCTCCACCGGATCATCGGCGAGCGGTCTCCAAATGGACGGGAACGGACAATGGGGGCTGTGTCGACGGGATGGAACAGCTTGCATTTCGACGCCCCCAAAGGGAAAAAAAAAAGAACCGTGATCGCGAATTGCAAATCGTCGGTAGGCACGTATGCAGAGAGATTCACTTGGCCTCAGTTTGATTTGATGGGCATATAGGCTAGGCTCCCTATGTGCATTGACGCCGTACAAGGGCCTGCATGCTGGAGAACCGCCTCTTTCAGAAGATGAGCCAAAACCATGCCTGGCTAAGCGCCTTGGATACGTCTTCGTCCGACGTCGACAACGAAGCGTCGACAGAGGTGCATATGTTCATACGGAGACTATCTTAGACCCCGTCCGAAGGTCCATGGCGGATGAACCGTTAGTTTGGTAGAAGACCACGTCAACCAATAGAGTCCTGGGGATAGCACGGCATGAAAATGTGCCTCTAAGTAGCGGCCCTTGTTCGAGGATAGCGACTTCAGGTGAACAGCCAGCACACACGCACACAAAAAAGGTCAGCCAGAATAGAACAGACACGGGAAGTCGGTTCTTGGGAGGAAGTCTCAAGGTTAGTGTGTGGGTGTGACTAGTATGCTGTTTCTGGAAGCATCCGTCCTCGAAAATAAGGGAACGGTATCCTGTGACCTGCGCATGGCCTGCAAACTGCAGCTGCACAGCGGGAAGCCAGCAAGCAGCAAGCACAGGCAAAGCGTCAACCAACCTGCGTTAGGGGAAGTGCTCCACTCCTGTCGATTGATGAAAAGATTTTCTTAATTTTTATTTTGTTATTCCTAGTCGGTTCGACGGACAGAAGCGTCTACGAGGGAGCTTGAATTTAATAACTCATAGGGACCTTTGGATGGAGGATCCGTGGTACTGCGCCATGCTAAGCTTCTTAGAAGCTACAAAGCCAGCTGTATTCATCCTTTCTGAGGAGGAGGGCGTGGAGGACGAGACCGAGATCCTCGAGGCACACACACAACGGACCCCACTGTCGTTGGAAGCTCGCTTGTGGTAGTTAGTAGTTGGTAGTTGGTTCTCCCTACTGAGGATGGATGAGAATGAGAGTCAAGAAGAAGAGAAATAATGATGATGTCCAGACGGAGCAGAGGGAGTATACTGTAGATACTTTCGAAGATAGACAGCAGGCAGTAAGAGGCTTGCTGAGTAAATCCGAGATGGTTTGTCGTAGCCATGGAAATCGAAATCGAAATCGAACTGGTAATAGAAACGGGGGAGTTGAGTCTGTACTCCGTAACTGGTCTGAGTGGGCTCGCTCTCTCCCTTCAAATTAAATTTGTTTACGACAACGCCTTTCTTCTTCTTCTTCCTCTCCCCTTCTTCCTCCTTCTTCCACTTACTTCTCCCTGAACGCTTCCATCAACCTCATCGTAACCATCCTCCCCAAACTACCATCGCCAGCTACCTGAATAGCTTCACACCGCTTTCGACCCTTCCGAGGTAGTCTCCCCGTGACCCCTCCTGCCTTTCTGGAGCTTGCCTTAGATCACGGTCAAGCTGTTTGACCGGGACCTCAACGAACCCCTCGCTGACCACATAATCGATTACGCAGAACCATCGATAACCTTTTCCTCCCACTATTCCGAAAAACACACCATCACCGCTTACTCTATATACAATGGCTTCTGAGGTATGTACTAAGCTCGGACGACTCGTTTCTTTTGTATCTAGTATCGCTTCGGACATGTCTCAGCCTTTGAGAGGGATAGCAACGCAAAACCTTTTCCCTGACAGCTACATTAGCGGGGCAGAGGAATCGTTGCATGTGACACCTCGAAGTGAGACGTCCGACGGCTGTTATGAGATCGGACATTCTAGACATTGTTCTGATGGATCGTTCAAATCGAATACTAATGATGATTCTTACTTGTAGCGTGAAAAGTTAGTCGCACCGTCCTTTCCGGGTTACTGGGGCCCCATAGACGCAATGGAGGTTCTGATGGATCCTGCTACACGATGCTAACGAAAGAACGTCACAGCAAAACATTCCTCGCCAGGTTGTGCGAGCAGGCTGAACGTTATGATGGTAGGCAATCGCAGAGACGTTACCCCTTGATCCAGAGCAATGCAGGCTAACAAGCTGAATAGAAATGGTTGAGTACATGAAGGTAAAAAATTAAACGTCGTACCCTCTTGGGAAATATGTAACCCCGCTAAATACATATATTCCGAGCGTATAGGAAGTTGCCAAGGTAAGTCATGAACGCGATCATACCTCAACTGTCTTTATATATAAAACCCTAACATTGCCCTCATAGCTTGGTGGCGAACTCACCATGGACGAACGTAATCTCCTGTCTGTCGCTTACAAGAACGTCGTCGGCACTCGAAGAGCCTCATGGCGTATTATCTCCTCCATCGAACAGAAGGAGGAACACAAGAAGTCCGAAAAGCACGTTGGCAAGATTCGCGAGTATCGTTCCAAGATCGAAAAGGAGTTGGAAGACGTCTGCAAGGATGTTCTACAAGTCCTCGACGATTACCTCATCAAGAAGGCCGAGACCGGCGAGTCTAAGGTCTTCTACCATAAGATGTCAGCACTCCCATTCATTTTCGACGTCACCCTCATGCTAACTTTGACACAGGAAGGGTGATTATCACCGATATCTCGCTGAGTTCGCTAGCGGTGACAAGCGCAAGGATGCCGCCAGCGCCGCTCACGATGCCTACAAGGTATGTATTGCATATCCCACCAGTTAGAAGTCGTATAGCTAATATTATAAATAGTCGGCAACTGATGTCGCTCAAACCGACCTTACCCCAACTCACCCAATCCGTCTTGGTTTGGCCCTCAACTTCTCCGTCTTCTACTACGAGATCCTGAACTCGCCCGATCGTGCTTGCCACCTTGCCAAGCAGGCCTTCGATGATGCTATCGCAGAGCTTGATTCCCTTAGCGAGGAGAGCTATCGGGACTCTACCCTGATTATGCAGCTCCTGCGCGATAACCTCACCCTCTGGACTTCGTCAGACAGCGGTGAGGCTGAGGCTGATGCGGCCGCACCAAAGGATGCCACTGACGCTGCTCCTAAAACCGAGACAGCCGAGGCCGCCCCCCCCGCTGAGGAATCAAAGTAAACACTTCGAGCTTAGCTTTTCGAAAGACCGTCACATCCCCTTCATCCTCTATCATTGCGATATGCACCAAACTCTCTTGCACGCGACTCTAGCCACCTGGTTTTTCGGTTATTATCTTGATATTGCGATCCTGTCCAAATTTTTTCTCTTTCTTCTTTTTCATAGGCTTCTTTTTAACCAATCAAGGACTTATTTTTTGGGTAACCCTTCCACATCAGCTTCCCCTCGTAGAATGCCTAGCAAAAGTGTCGCAATGCCAAAATTTCGTCGAAAATCTCATTCTTACAAATGGCAGTCCAGTGCTGCTTAACCCCAATCCCACTCACCGAATTACCACACTTCCCGCCTCCCCAAACCCGTCACAACCCCTTTATTGCCTTCTATGATTTCTTGTCTATTATCATGTAACAGTTTTTAGTGTCTCCTACTCTTTATTCCCCAAATCTCCTTGAGTATTGAACGTTTTCACTTCTGCGTTTTTACTCCTTTTTGTGCCCTATACGTTTTTTTTTTACACCGGGTGTTAACTTGCTATTTGTATTTCCCGTCTCTCACCCAGTACTGTCTTCTTTCCTAGTAATGTGGGAAAGACAGAAAGTGGAAAAGGAAGAACAAAGTAAAAAAATCGAATAAAATCCCTTACGGACGGCGATACCCTCCTGATATATGGAACCTGAACTCTTTTTATACTAGAAGAAGGGTTTCTGGTGGGTCGGACGTCAATTATTATTATACTTTTAAACAATCCGCTGCGCAAACCGATTAGGCCCATATATAGGACGTAGATATGACTTCACATGTATTGATTGATGATATATATATAATAAAACCTCAAGCATCTTAAGTAGAATTCTAATATCTATCTTAAGTTCATTCAATGACCTACGAATTTGTTGCGAGAGTATATACGATATATCAATACTCACATTAAGACACCTTAGTGTTCATAGTATAGGATCAGTCAGCAAGATCTTGACGAATCAACCCCACCATCAAGAAAATATAAGCTTTCTATTAAAGAGACCTCGCGTGAGGGGTATTACAGATCCGAGGCCCTGAGGGGGGGGAAACAGAACTCCCCAATTAATTATAAGTAATGCACGTCATTACACTGTTATGCGGCAGCGACCACTCAGAAGAGAGGGTTTTTTTTTCGCCTTTACCCCGCACCCTGTCTCTACGAGACCGCTTTCGGCTAGTATTAATCCGTTGGAGTGCTAAGGTGAGTACTTTAGTGAGTGAGCCGGGGCCACCTTGTGTGGATTATTACTGTGTATAACTTGGTTTTTACCTTTGTGTGGAAGGGAATTAATTTTGGGGGCCTGTTTGCTGGTGCAGGCTTACTGGTCTGGATTGGGAGCGAATACGAGGACGTTTACGTACCTGCTTTGTACTCGCTTGAGAATCGAATTCGGAGTGATGTGTATTCCATTATATATTGTTCGAATTAGAGATTTTAGGTAATGAGGTTGGAATCTTTATTAAAATAAGGTTCCTTATATATATATAATTATATACTACCTAGTATACCAATGCAAAATAATTTCTAAAACTACTATATAATACTACTTTCTTCAGGTTCAACGAATCGTATACTCGGGGTCTGAAGTAGTGTTTTCCGGCATATACGGACTTAATATTGATATATCAATCATGCACACTATGACGAGACGATGTACATACCGTATATCTATTACAGGTACACCGGTGTTTCCACGATACAATTGACAACATAACTTAATAATTCGTTCCCTGGACTCATATCTAGCGTCAAAGGCTTAACCTGGGTGTTAAAAGATTATATTGTGTAAGTGCGCATGTTTGCATAGACTTATATCATGATCGACATCATCAGACCCCCCTCCCCATCACACACTCCCTCGTTGCCACGTTTTCACCTTCTTTCTTTCTTTCTTTTTTTACTTTTTCTCAAACTAAAATATTCCGGGTTTTTATTTGTTTGGCCTCCCAGATCTGCGGATATACCAGGTCCAGTGACCGATACTAGGTCGTTGATCGCTGGTTCTTTTAGCGAGTTAGATAGATGATCTTGGGTATAGAATGTCTTACGTAAGTGAGTTGTGTAAAAGATACTGATTGCTTTAGGGATGATCGATGGGGATATGGGCTAGATGGATTGTAGTACGTAAGATGTAATATCAATTTATTGAATGGCCTTTTGAAGTTAACTAGTGTGATGCGGATATATATACATGCGTGCTGGTATATGTACTTCGGAGCCTGAGTGTTAGAGGATGACTTGGGAGACACCAGTGTTCCTTGACGGGATGATGGTTTTTTATATCTGTATAGTTTATGGAAACGGTTTATTGTTCGAGGAGACCCGTGATTGTATATATCCATATATATATGATTTCGAGCAGCTGATATATCTATGAGTATTATATTATATTAACTTATTGATAACAAATGCAAATTCACAAGGTGCAATTGCGTTATCGATATATAACAATCCTCGAGAACATCTATATTTGTTTTTTTATATTTTATTTGTTTAATTAATCAGGAACTCGGTCCATTCGTTTCTCCCCTCTTTCGATTTCAATTCAACCGAGACGTCTTCTTGAAACAAATCGTGGTTCCTTACGTACCATGGTTTTATTCCTCGTTTTCCGCCTCGGAAAGGGCGTAGATCAGGCACCAGACGGATCTCGTTTCCCCATTTCTATATCAACTAGTGGTATATACGGGCTAGATGATCGGACGCATACATTCCGGCTTATAAACCTTCTCTAAATCCAACTTTAAAACACCCAATTTAGGTCTAAACTCATGGGGTCCTTTCTTGACGGCGGATTTTCCGGGACTCATGTGTCTTGACATAAGTCTGCTTGGCTGGTCGGAATGCAGATGCGTATATGAAAGGTTTACCTGAATTGTGGCGTTGCGTGGTATTTTGTGTGTGTGGACGGGCCGAAAGACCGCCTTGCCCCCACCAGGTGGATTCATCCGGTGTTTCGACTTTTTTTTCCCTTTGATAGGAAGGGGGTGGGGATTTAACTTGCTCTTGAAGTTAAGATTTGGACATATCCTGCATAGACGGTTTCTTCGGATTTTTGGTTTGGGATCCACAGTTTGGGGACCTGAGCTTTCAGGAACCAGAAGGTTTGCGTGGCTGGGGTGCTTGTTTAGAAGATTGTGGCGAGCACGTTGGTTTGAAGCGCACATGTGAGGCTAAGATCGAGTAGAACATTGCACCTGCATCTGCATTTGCATTGGACCCGTGATATCTAACCCCTCCTCCTCCTTCTTTCGTCTTGTCTTTGTTCTCGAAGTACTATGTAAAAGAAAAACAATGGGCTCAGCTAGTTAGCTACTCCACTTATGTTTTTTCCGACATCCCGGTATCATAAGTTTTTCCTTCCGGATCCCAAATTTGCAATTCGGAGCTTCAAGCTCCGAAGGCAAAGTCTACCGGGTTCAATGATGGTTGTTCCTGGATTTTTCATCCGATGGTCAGATCAGCTAATGGGGGATCATGGGAATAAATGCCTTTTTTTTTATATTAATGTTTAACATTGATCAAAGATGGTATGGGGAAGGATGGTGTATAAGTATACAGGATATTCCAGTGAATTGATATTACATCCCTCTTCTTTTTCAACTCCTTGTTTGCGGCACGGGTAGTTGATCTGTTCAGTTGTACATATATATATATCTTTCTTTCTTTCTTTTTTATTGTCTTTCTTGTCTTATAGAGAGAGATAGGAAGCAAAGATGTTGTTGGGTCTTGTGCCTTTTATCCTCGCCGCTTTGGCTGGGTCTTCGTCGGCTCAGACGGTGACTTATCAAGCTGAGTCTGCGGCCTTGACTGGTGTTACTGTTGGAACTACTGTTACTGGATTTACCGGTATGTTTTTAATCCATTGGATTCTGTTCGAGGATTGAGGGAAATGGTGTAGATAGATGCTAATATATCTAATTTCGATAATAGGTACCGGATACGTCGAAGGTTTCGATACCAGCGGTGACGAGATCAAGTTTACCGTCACCAGCACTGCACAGGGTCTTTACGATCTCAAGATCATCTACAATGGTCCATATGGCGATAAATACACAACTGTCGTCTTGAACGGAGCCGGTGGAGGACAAGTCTTCCTCCCCGCGACCACCAGCTGGGTCACCGTCCCCGCCGGACAGGTTCTTTTGAACGCCGGATCGAACACCATTCAGATCCAGAACAACTGGGGATGGTATCTCATTGACGCCATCACACTTACCCCATCCACCCCAAGGGGACCCCATCAGATCAGCACTACCCCAGTTAACCCAGCTGCCAACTCTGATGCCAAGGCATTGCTTAAGTTCCTCGGCAGCATCTACGGCAAGAAGATCCTCTCCGGTCAGCAAGACCAAGCTTCCCTCGATTGGGTTACCAGCAATGTCGGAAAGACACCAGCGATCCTTGGTCTCGATTTGATGGATTACACCGATTCGCGTACCTCGCGTGGTGCAGTCAGCACTGATGTCGATAAGGCTATTGCCTTCGCTGCCCGTGGTGGTATTGTTACTTTCTGCTGGCATTGGGGTGCCCCCGTTGGTCTTTATGATACTCCCGAGCAGAGGTGGTGGTCCGGTTTCTATACCGCTGCTACTGACTTCAATGTCGCCACTGCTCTCGCGGATACGACTAATGCCAATTATACACTCATCCTTCACGATATCGATACCATTGCTGTTCAGTTGAAGAAACTTGAGGCGGCTGGTGTTCCAGTTCTCTGGAGGCCTTTGCACGAGGCTGAGGGTAAGTGGTTCTGGTGGGGAGCTCAGGGACCAGAGGCTTGCAAGAAGTTGTGGAATTTGGTCTACAGCCGTCTTACCACCCACCACGGAATTAAGAATTTGATCTGGATTTGGAACTCTGTTGCTGAGGATTGGTATCCTGGTGATGCTACGATCGATATTGTCAGCGCTGATACTTATACTCAGGGTGACCACGGCGTAAGTTTTTTCCCCCCTTTTTTAGCAAAATCTCAATGGTATTGGTACCGTAACTAATATATGATATTTAACAATAATAGCCAATCTCCGCCACCTATAACTCCCTCCTCGGCCTCGTCAACGACAAGAAGATCATTGCCGCCACCGAAATCGGCTCCATCATGGACCCCGTCCAACTCCAACTCTACCAAGCCGACTGGGTCTACTTCTGCATCTGGAGCGGTGACTTCATCTCCGGCGGCCAATGGAATTCCCTCGACCTCCTCAAGTCTGTCTTCAACCACGACTACGTTCTCAACCTCGACAGAATCCAAGGATGGAAGAACCCAACCACCACCAGCACCACCACTACCACCAGCGTTCGCCCAACTACCACTAGCAGCAGCAGCAGGACTACTACCCCTGTTGTTACTACTACCAGCAGCAGGACTACTACTTCTTCGTCTAGGACTACTACTCCTAGCACCACTACTACCACTGCTGTTAGGACCTCGACTACTACTACTAGATCTACTACCGCCAGCGCTACTCCTACTGCTGTCGCTTCGCGATGGGGACAGTGCGGTGGTATTGGGTTCACTGGACCAACTGTTTGCGAGTCGCCATATACTTGCACTGTTTTGGTAAGTTTTTCCCTTTCTCTAAAATATATATATTCCTAAAGTTATGAACGGTTTTACTAATTTTTAAATTTCTTCTCTTTAGAACCCATACTACTACCAGTGCTTGTAAATATACTTAAAGGCTAGTGAGGAAAGGGGGGAGTATAATGTGAAAATGTGTACATAAACGAAGGGGGGAAAGAGAGAGGACCTCATTTGTAAATACTTAGCTTCTATAATATACATATTTCTATATATATTATATTTATTATTACATATTATCTACCTTAATCTTCTCCTCCTTATCTACTTCTACAAACTTCGGTAGATTGATAATAACAAAAAGAACGAAGAAGGTTAGTTAGTATTGAATATTAATCCCAAGAAGGGAATGGTATATCTACTTAAGTACATATATACCTTCAAATGAAGTCTAGAATACCAAAGCCGTGAAGATGCTTGCATGCATGCAGCATAAATGCAAGGTTGACGGGATAATTACGTCTTTCCCTTTCCTGTTGCATTTTGTATAGTTGTGTTGGGTTAAGCTAAGTCAGCTAAGTTAGAAAACATCGATCGATCGTTTTTTCCTTTGGTTCTGAGCTAAGCTAAGCAGGACCATGCAACCCCCGCAAATTGTCATGTCGCAAAAAGAAGAAGAGTGTCGTACGTCGTCCCCCCTGGACAGGGAAGGGATAGGGAAAAAAGGGAAAGGGAAAGGGAAAGGGAAAGGGAAAGGGAAAGGGAAAGGGAAAGGGAAAGGGAAAGGGAAAGGGGGTGGTGTGGATAGTAGCAGCTAGGATTCATAGATATATCTGCAGAAAAGTATACTTAATTACTTATACATTATACATATAAAGTATGTATGTACTGCAGTACTGTAACTTGAAGTGAAGTATATACAAGGAGGAAGGGGTTTAAGAATTAATTAACCTTGGCTTCGTGACGACCTTCCGGCTTGAGGATATCCGGAATGTGCGTATGTGTGGATACGTACAGTACGTTAGATGTTTAATGTGTATGTATGTACTATGTATGTCTGTTATATGTGATGGATGTAATGCACAAGCAGCAAGGCTGTGCCCGCGCAGTCGAGTCGACTCCGGCAGAATGTTTCTGCGGATGGCATATATTATATGTATAACTTGGTATCCTTACTTAGTATGCTTAGTAGTCTATGTATATTGGAAAGTTCGAAAAAGAGGGTCCTCGTTGGCTGGTTGTTCGGATTTCACCCTAACCTGGAAAAGGACAACTTTTAAGACAAAGTACAAGGGCAAAGAACGAAACCAAAAAAATAACAAGAAGGAGAAGGAGAAGAAGCCAAATATAATCTTTGAATTGACATGTGCAAAAAAAAAGGTTCAAAATCGAGGTGAGGGGGGGAAATGTAGTAAAAGTAGTTCTAGACTAGTCTGGGTCACTATACTTTTTTTGAATCTTCAATCCAGATCCTGTACGTACTGTGTGTATGGTTCACGTTCATGGACATATGATATGGTTAAATCCGCCGCCGCCGCAAGTTAAGTTAACTTAATTAACCTCTGCGCTTGCAAGGTTTCAGGCTTTTGTGGTTTGGCAGGTTCGCCTGTTTTTCTCTTTCTGACCTTTTCCTTTGAATTCTATTCGCTAATATGGGTTCTTTGGGGGCAAGTTTACCAACGATCGGGCAAAGCAAGCAGGAAATTCGAGCCGGGGGGAAGAAAGAATCCTAGCTATGTTACTTCTTAGGTATGGATGAGGAGGAGGGGCAGCTCAACGGTCAACGGTTCTAATTAATTTAATCGAATCGAGTCAAATCGATTGAACTTTCTTTGATTGATTGACAGTGTGCACAGCATGTCATGAAATAAGAGATGATACAACGTATACGTATACATATACATGTACATGTACTATGTATACCAAGCACAGATACATTCAACAACATGCATGCTGCCTCTATTGGAGTACATATGTACTCGAGGATGATAAACAAGGATGGGGCAAGTTTATCCATCTTCTTGCAGATACAATCGAGGAATGTGTGAAGTTTACCCCATATTCCACTAATTTTACATTTGCGCTAACCTTACCTTCTTGGTAAGCTTCGACGGTTTGCGCTAGCCTGGACACCCCCCTCTTCTTGTGCTTCTTATTGAATTGATCTGATTGAGTCTTGCTTGTCTAGCTAGCTCTTGTGTCTATCATAGACCCTCGAGGGTTTTGGGTTTAATCACCCTCTCTTCTCTCCCTCCCTCCCTTTTTTTAACCCTTTCCCTGGCAGTTCCCTGTCTTTTCCCCGGATTGTGTGTATAGTGGACTTCTTGATCAAGAAGTCTCTCTTGTGCATGCATGCATCCTGTATTTTCTGTATTCTGTGCAATGGTTGTAAAGTTAGGCTGGTGGTAGTAACTAGTAGTTAATTGTGCTTGAATCGTCTCACGTTCACCGATCTTGCCTTTCTGATATAAATCCACCACACCTCCCCCCTCTTTCTTTCTTTCTTCTCTTTATTCAATTCTCCCTCTCTGCTACATCATAACTCTCTCTATCCTCGTTTCCCCTCCAGATATTATCATTTTTTAAGCTTTTTTTTCTGTCGTGGAGATTTTGGGATTTAAAAGAAAAGGGAAGCTGAAGGAGCTGAGCAAAGAAAGCTACGCAAGCTACACCAAATACGCTGCTGTGCTTCTGACACGCGAAAGGACAACACCTTTTTTTTGTTCACCAACAGAACAGAACAGAACAGAATCACAAACATCAGACAACAAACAGCCAACAGAAACAGAACCAGCGATATTGTCTTGAATCCACAAAGCTAAATTCCCTGAGATTAATTCCTGGAATTCCTTCTTCTCCTCCGATATCTCTTTCTTTTCTCTTAAACATTCTTGATTAATTACTCTACATCTTTTTTTTTAAAATCAAAATCAAAAAGAAAACACCATGTCCTCCCAATCATCCGGAAATCCTTCCTCCTCTACTGCCACCTCGTACCCCCAACGTCGAGGCTCCATAACCGAGTACTTCCGCCCCCCACAATCCTCAACTTACCCCGGTCCAATCACCTCTGCAGCAGCCCAGGCCAACCACCGTCGTCGAATGTCCTACTCCGGTGGTACCGGTCTCACAGGAACTTCACCACCAACACCATGGTTTGGAGGATATACTCCCGGTAGTGGAGGAGGGCGTAGGGCAAGCATTAGCTCTGTTTCGTCCAGTGCCAGTTCTCCGATCGATGTAGACGCGGACGAAAAACGAGATGTCGATATGACGTCTTCTCCACCTGGATCATCTAGCGGGAGTTTTGCTAGACGGCTTAGTTTTGGAGCGAGGGCTTTGAGGGATGTTAAACGGAGTATGAGTTTTGGAACTGTTGGCGAAGGTGGTTAGTCCCTCTATCTTGTTATTTTTATTTTATTTTATTTTTTTTGAAAATACGGATATACTGACCTTTGAATTTTTTTAATTGTTTTTGTTAGAGCCGGAGAATGAACATAGGGCTACTCAAGAATCAATGGCTCCTCCACCTCCTCCACCTCACCATGCTGCTCCTAAGCATGATGAGGTTCAGGAGAGGATGTTGAAAGGAGATTTCTACTTTTGAAGTTTTTCTCTCACTTTTTTTCATCAGGCATTCGATCGCCTTCTTTTTTTTTAAGGGTTCCTATTTATTTTTAAACACATGGACCACGCCTTTTCTTTCTCGCGTTCTTTCTCACGTGGGACATTCCTCTTTTTTTTTTCGTCAGTTAGGTCTTTCTTCTTCTTTCATTGGATATGGATTTGGGAAACGGGGAGTCAATAATGGAGCAGCCCTGGGGTTTATTCTTTCCACTCCTTTAAGGTTTTTTATGGTATGGGAAACTTCGTTTTGATTGCTATGCAATGGAAATGGGATATTTTTATTTTATTTTTATTTTGTCTATCTTCTGGGGTATTATTATCATGATGTTCTTTACTTCTTCTTCTTCTTCTTGCTTTCTTGTTCGGCTTCTGGGAATTAATGCTGTTAATGGCGTTTGCCCTTTACGATGCTTTATTCACTTTTGTCATATCTGCGAGTTCTAGTGTTTTCCTTTTTTTTTATATATTTTATTTTATATTCTTGTTGATGGATCGATTGAAGCGGTGTTTTAATAAGTTGAAGGGTATATCAACTGGAGAGAGAGAGAGATAGGAAGCAGGCGGTATTTTATAATATCAAAGGGTAAGAAATTTGGAACGAAAGGAGGATTAAAAAAAATTATTCACTTTTTTTTTATATAAAACAGAACTTCCGTTTCTTTGACTAACCACTACTTAAGTAGCTCTGTACTTACTTGAATAACTCACCAACTGTTTTTCTAACTTATGCTCGTTCTTTTTTGAAGTTGAAGTTGAATTTTTTTCGATCAGTTGTCCTTTTTTCTGTTAGTATTTGCGAGTGAGTGGGTGAGTGAGTGGGTAGTTCTGTCGACTGTGGCTTTTTCGGTTTCTCTGAGAAGTGTGGTTTTAATGCATTATGTATGTACGATATACATTTATGATATCACCGGGCGTCAGAGTTTTATAAGTCCATCTTATATATATTATACATCTACCAGTAGTATACTATTACTATGTCTTCGTTCGATGGCCAAATGCTAGGGTCTACATGTTTAGCGAATCCCATTCAGTAGTCCTTTTCTCTACCTATCTCCTCGAGTATTATACTATAATACTACCGACTTACCTTCCATGTGAACATATGCATCATATCTCCACCATTTTATCTAACCTAATCAATGCATATGTATGTAAGTATGTAAAGGGTGGGTTTCCATCCAACATGCAAAAGAAAGCTGCAGAGAGAGAAAAAAGGTTTGTTACGTTATATAATTACGTATCTAAACGTTTCGACATGAACAGCCCCAATTGGCAATTGGAAGGGTAGAAAAGGATGATGTTTGATTGGATCCCAGCCGTGGTTCTTTTTTTGTTTTTTCTTTTTTGTTTTTCAACGGTGGATTATACTGTTTATTACAGCGGTAGCTTTGATTTGATGGGCGAGGCAGTCTTATCATTACTGACTGACTGACTGACTTATCCGGGTAATTTTGTATCTTTTTGGGTCTTCGGTTCTTCTAGATAGTACTAATACTATCTATGTCTGTTACATACTGACTTACATACATTTGGGGAAGTAAGAAAAAGAAAAAAGAAGGTGGGCCTGGTTTTTGGTTGATATGGTCGGTTAGATATGCTGGTTTTTTTTTTTTTTTTGGTTTTAAAGGGTGGTTTGGTATTTGTTTTTTCTCTCTCTCTTCTGACTGGCTGGAGAGGGTTTGATAGAAGTTATATACACTGTATTTCGTGTATATATATATATATATATATATTCCTCGAAGTTATAGGGATATCGATATCGTTGGAGATATAGATGATTGTAGTTTATGATTGATAGTAGTTAGTATATATGTACACTTCCAGTCCTAAATATACACATCAACATCAACTCTAATATATATCCCAGATCAAGATATAATACACCCTCCCCATATGTACAAACTCCTCCTTAAAAAGACAGAATTACAGATAGTATATAGATATTATAGAAATATATATATATATATATATATCTAATGCGTCAACATCTTCCTCCCCTTCGCCTTCCTCCTCTTCAAGATATTCTTACCCGTTTTACTCCTCAACCTAGCCAAGAACCCAAACCTGCGTTTTCGAACGATATGAGATGGGTTATAGGTTTTTCGTCTGTGACCTCGGGTTTGTGTTAGACCCTGTAGTGGGAGGAGTAGTGATGTTGATGTTGTTTGTGATGTTGATGATGTGGTTTGTGGGATGAGGGATGTGGGTGAAGAATGGAGGGTTGGACGGGTTTGGAGGGTGATTATGGTGGTTGGAGTTCGGAGGAGGGATGTGAATGTTCTAGATGGAGAGGGTTAGTATTATATTGGATTGGATTGGGTTGTGAGGGATGGAGGGGGGGTGTACCTTCGTGATGATGATGAAGCTGTGGATCGTAGACAGGATATTGCCGGACGGCGAAGGAGTGTGAGAATCGTCATTGCTTGTCTCTTTTAAGATAGACTGTATTAAAGATCGATCCGTTTGGTTTGATTGGTGATGGTGATGGTGGTTGATGATGATGGATGGTAGTGGTGGGGATAGTGATAGTTGAAGGTTGAGTGAGGTTTGAAGATTAAGTCCAATGCAACAACCCCGGCCGTTCAGCGAATGCGGCTTAAAATTCTAATTTTTTTAAAAAAACTAAAATTTTCGCGACAACTTTCTTCTCTCTCCCCTCCACCTCCCACTCACTTAACTACTCACCTAACTACTCTCCACCATTATCATACTAAAAAAGATGTCCCGCTACCTCCCCGCCCCCCCGCGCACTCCAACCACAATCCTCTCCTCCAATCCAATCCCTCTGGACGAAGCCCACTCCCACCTCCAATCATACCTCCTCTCCACCTCTTCCTCCCAACCCTGGTCCCACTCTCACGACGCCGGTACCACCGCCTCTCTCAAAAAGCTCGAATTATCTCTTCGCGGAATCCACGGTCCCGCTGCAAATTCCCATTTCATCGCCATTGCCGATGATGTCGAAATCGATACTATCGACAATAATATCATCAACAATAATAGCAATCTAGACCTGGAAGATACATTTTCAAAACCAGATACAGACGAAGGTGGGGAATCGGAACGACAGAGGGTGTATGAAACTGTTGAAGATCTAGAAGTTGCGGAAGAGATTAGAGATGAAGATGAAGGTGTTTTGATGAGGGAATTGCAGAATGTTGAGAAGGCTGAAGAGGGACAGGAGGATGTTGAGGTTATGATGGAGAAAGAGGAGAAAGAATTGAAAGGGGTAGCTGTGGTGGTTGATAAGGAGGAGAGGAAACGACTGAAGAAACTCAGGATGAAGGAGGAGAAGAAGAGAAAAGAAGCCGAGAGGGCGGCTGAGAGGGAGTAGCTATTTTAGCTATGAGGAGGACGACGGCGACGGTGAAGACGACGAGAATAACGGTTGGAGTTGGGTTATATGAAATATATTATCAGTGATGACTACGGAAAGGTATACGGAGCTTCCACCAGAAGGTATGATTGATTCGATCGAATTACTTTTCCATTCACATTTTTTGTTTTTTGATGTTTCTAAAACATATCACTAATACACCGCTTCTCTCTAACCCACCAGCATATCATATCTTATCATATCATATGTCTGTTGTCTGTCGCTTCTCATTCCTCAATCCACGTCAACATCTAAAACGCTCCTCTAAACCTAACCAACCACCGAGAAGAAAAAAAGTCTAAAGTAGCATCTAACTTTTCTTTCTTTTCCTTTTTCTTCTCTAAACCTCCAATACTCCAAATCCACACCTACTGCTTCTTCTGCTGTCCCTTCCATCCCAACGCTCCCAATCTCTCCGTCAAGATCGGATGCGTATAATGATAACTCGAATACATCCAATCCGCATCCATGGTCGACAAATTCTGCACCTGCAGTTTAATCAAACTGCTCGCCAACATATCTCCGAATCCCAAATTCAACGCAAACGCATCGGCCTGGTATTCGAACATTCGGGTGACCATGTTCAAGAAGAATTTGACAAGAGTATCCATCGGTGCCAGGACATCGGAGAAAAGAATGAATCCGATGATGATTGGGTGGGAAGAATGGAAACCGAAGGATCGGTAAAGGGAACGGTTGTTGATGAAGACGGAGAATAAGGCGAAAATGTAGAACATGTGGAACTGTTTTTTGAGGGTCACGAAAGTGTATTAGTATATTTAACTTGTATGAATAGAGAGAAAAAGGGAAAGAAGATAAGAAATACCTGAGCGATATAGAACAACTTGGTAGTATGTCCCAAACTCCAATGACCAAGCTCATGAGCAAGAACAGCAACAACCTCTTCCGTCTCACTCTTCTCAATCAAAGTATCATAGATAACAATATGCTTAGCCCACGGTAAACCATAGAAATACGCATTAGAATGCGCACTCCTCTTAGATCCATCGATAACATAAAGCTTCTTCAACGGGAACTTCAACTTATCAGCCAAAGCCTCGACTTCGGTCTTCAATTTGCCAGGTTCCAACGGTGTGAGTTTGTTGAACAACGGAAGAATCCAGAGCGGGTAGATAGTGATCATGGTAACTTGGACACAGACTGCGAAAGCCCAGAGGTAGAAGAAGAAGTTTGTACCGAACGATTGAACGATCTTGAGGAATCCTGCCAAGATGGGTGCGCCGAAGACGATGGAAAGAGCTTGACCCTTTATCATATCGGTTAACCACAGACCGACAGTTTGCTTGTTGAAGCCGAATTTTTCCTCGAGGACGAAGTGAGAATAGTAGTCGATTGGAGCGTTTAGAGCGGTGACAATGAGGTTGAAGATGAAGAAGAAGATGATAGAGTGTGTGATCTAAATTTCCGCTCTCTTTTCATTAGTATTTTCGATATGATATAAAGAATGTAGTATTGACGACTGATGGAATAGTACCTCGCCATTGAATCTAGCCGGAACATAAGTAAGCATCAAAGACCCAGTGAATCCCCATAGCTTTGGAAGCACATCATAGACGATAAACCCGACGTTTTGCAATTGACCGTAAAGACCCTTGATATATCCGAAATCCGCTTTTGCTCGACCGTATGCCTAATTTTTCCATCCATTAGATTAGTCCCTCTATAAATTCCTCCAAGTCAATATATATCATATGGATTGTTATGATATCATACTTGAGATTTGTCAAAAACCTCCTTCTCAACAGCTCCATCCAACTGATTTGGAATCTTATCCTTCCGAAGGACTTTATACTGCCGAGCCGAAAGGTAGGTTTCGAATAAATACTGAGCGACGGAGAAGCCGAGGATTAATTTCTTCCATGGGAACAAAGGACGATCGAAGAATGTTGCTAGGTTCTGATGTATCGAATTTAAGAAATTTTTAAGGTTAGCGATATCAAATGCAAGATGATCAATAGATCTATAATAAAGATAGTGGGGGATGATGGGGGGGTTATGTTATAGTCACGAGATCTCGAGACCGGTAAATAACTTACGGCTAAGATATCCATCCTGAAAAAGGTCGGTACAGCTAACCTGCTGTCCGGAAGCTACCAAAAAGGAAAGAAAGAAAGAAAGAAACCAGCTGGACCAGCGAAAAAACCACAATTATTAAGATGAAGATCCCGAGAATAATCTCCACTCTCTTCTTTCTTCTTTCTTTCTCGTTAGATTGGAAGGGAGGAAGTGGATGACAGAAAAAGGGTGATGATGGTGGGGGATTGGAGAGGCTTAAAACGTGTTTTTTACGTCCGACCAAAGGAAACCGTGTTTTGTTAGCTTGGAAAAAACGAGCTCAAATGAAAAAGTGCCGCCAGCCAAGCTTCCAACACAACGTCATGTTGCATATTATTGCTTTGTTCTATGGCGCTGGCGCGGGAAATGTATTGGACCGGACAGGATCTGAATGTTAATTATTAATTTATCGTTAATTGAATTATAGCTCCACGGGTCTAGACACTCCCGAGAGGTTGGGATTTGGTAGAGACATATGTATCTATTTGGGTACGATAATCTCGGTAGCTCGGATCTCGTAGTGGGGGGCCGTAGGATTACCTCGTCGCTGGACTCCTCAAATACTGTATACTGTGGATGTATTGTTCTTATATTGATGTCTTATAAAAGACGCCCAGCCCAGCCACAAAGCCATTGAACATGGTACATAGTCTCGTATTCTGAAAGCATATAGTTGTATCGACGGCAAGTACTGGTTTAGATTTAGCCAAACGGCTTCCCGCTTCCAAGGGCATACATATTACTGTACTTGAATAATCAATTTGTCATAAATGTTAATATACTTTTGATCAAAACCGAAGTCTACAGTACTTAGACACACATCTCCGAAGTCGCAGGAATATATACATGTAAGTATAGAAGCATATCTCTCATTTTCGAGATATACATAAGTATGCATCTCGAATACTATAAACGATTCAAATGACTCCTTTCCTAGCCTCCCACTCAAGGTTTAGTATAAATCTCCACACATTGCCCCGCTCAGTCGACCGGGATTTTTGGCAGCATTGTGTTCTGATTGTGTAATATCAAGGCTTCTTTTTTATGTAATAGAATGAGGAGGAGGTGGTGGTTTTTGATCACTCATGTAGGAATTACTCGGATGATGACCTGTCCGGATCCTGCAGAAGGAAAAGTTAAAGCAATATATGCAACACTGGATACGATGGTTTTGAGCCGTCTCGGAAAACTAGAATGCCTAGATATGCATGGCTTGTGCGATATGTCTATCTAATGTATAGACCCCGTTACCGGCGTCTCGATCTATCTCACCTTCGACGGAACCTTAGAACGGCGAGCTTTCTAGTAAGGTCGGTTAGTCATGTTAGCATCGATGAAAAGATTCCAATGTGAAGAGAATTACGAGAAGGGAATTGAGCTGTGAAGGGTTCCCCGACGGCGCACCATGGGTCTTCAGTATTTACTCTGCGAAGAACAAATATACTCTCCGACAGATAGTAATTATACATTTCAAGCGATAAACCCGCTTGACAGTCAACCCGCTCCATGATATGTACTTCAAGCCAGGTGACAGACAGATTAAAAAACGCCGGTAACACCACCCTCTCTACTTAGGTATGCACAGAAAGGAACCCAAAAAGAAAAATAAGGAAGGAAAGAAAGTAACTCCTAGGAGGGGTCTCCAGCATAGTGAACTATCACCACACTAGCTAGATCCCTCCAGTCCTAAAAAACAAATCTAGTACACTGTGTACTGATCAAAAACTTCACCGGTGTAGAATCATCAGGTTCCAAGGTAATCGTCTCCGAAAACCCTCGGGATGGGGCGTCCTTCTCGTTACCAAACTTCACGTATCCATTCGTAGTCAACAAGATCGAACACTGCCCTTTCCCGTTGGGCGTCAGAGGTTGGGCGTCGAAGCACTGGACTTCATATGTGGCCGCTGGCATTTCGGTGTGTAGTTTCTCTACATCTGCTGCACCGCCGGAAAGATCGTTGCCGTTCCAGGAGATGGAAGGGGTGGGGGCGTAGTATTCTTTGAGCTTGGTGCGGGCGGCTTGTAGGTCCGTGTAATAGTTCGTGACAAAGGTTTTTGCAGCTGGAAGTTACGTATTAACGAAGATTGTTTATTAGATTTTTTTATATTTTTATATAGTTTATTAAGTTTTTTTATTTTGTTTAGAAAGGTATTTTATTTACCACTGTAAGAAAGCTGTATGAGGATGTCCCCCTCGATGGAGGTTTGAGATTGAGCCTGATCAGAAGGAGAAGGACGGGTTAGACAAGCAGCTGGATATGGAGCATAAGTATGGGAGTAGCGAAGAATAGGCCTTTTGGCCTGGGATACAGATTTGCCTGACATGATGAAGATTCGATGTTGGGGTTGAGAGTGAAGTTGGAGATATCGACAGCAATGGTGGTGTGGTACCGACGACGCTGAGAAAGCAGGTAAGGATATCTGTACTTACCATGATAGAAGGGACCGGTGCTTAGATAGCACAATTCCCCAGAGCTTCGAGGTGGGGCTGTTTGTGGCGGTAAGTTGGGGGGTAGATGTGGTAAATGACGATGTTGGAGATAGCTCCGAGGAAGCTTCATAGCGCGGCGCGAAATTCTTTTGGAGTCGCAGCTTTGACTCGTCGCGTGTTGCTTCAATTTGTTTGTCAGTAATTATATTTCCTCTTTTGGATTTTCATAATACAACATGCAACGCAATTATCACATAATATTCAAAGCCATTGGTTATGAGACAGCACTCTTATTATCATTTGCCATACAGCAACAGGTATTCACTCTCTCGACTCATTACATTACTATCTTCACAACATCAAGCCGCCCCAGCACCCCCTCTCCCCCCTCTATGGATCAACTTAGCAGACCGATCATGCTGCTCTACTCCCACCAGAGTCTCATCCACCCCCAAGCTCTTCATCTCCTTAGTCACAGCCTCTCTATCCGTATCAACTCTCTTACTAAGCTCCAGAATCGTTTCCAATCCCTCAAACTCCTCAGTAGCAATCTGTGCCAAAGCCTGCCATGGATCACCAATACGTGTCAAGGTAGTCTCCCGTAGGAAACGAACAAGAATTACAGCTGCCAAAATAATCTGGAAACCTAATACAGAAGCGACTATAGAATAACCAACTGGGAAACGACCTTTGACACGGTTGCTGAATAGACCTTGTTGTTCTAGAGCATATTCTCCACCGCGGCGAGTACCGTATGGACCCCCAGGAGACGAGACGTTTTGGAAACTAATCACTGATACTGTTTCCTGGCGAGGAAGTAATTGGATATTGTTGTAGTATGCGTTACTAGCTATTACTGTCAGGATTGATTGTAAAGCTAGCGCGACGTTTCCTTTAGGATGGTCTTTGACAGCACGGAATAAATCCTGTTGCCAATCCTTGCCACCGATGATATAGGATCCAATACCGTAAGCAACCTCCAATTGTGAAAAGGCCTCGCTCAAGGATACGGAGAAGTTCCCATATATTTCGTAATTACCTTCTTCTTCGAATTGAAGAGCAAATGGTTTTCGGTATTTTAGATGGAGAGCATCGGCGAGGAAGTGTAATTGATCGGGTCTGGTTAGATTGGTACGGGATGGCCAAGGTCCATCGGAACCCACGGCTTCGGACTCGGGAGTGGCCCAACCAGCCTCGGAGGGTAGTAAATTGAAAACGCCCCGAGATTCAGGACCTTTGTTCGGTTCGCTGGGTAGTAGTAGCGGTAGTACCTTTTCAAAGGTATAAGTACCCTTTACAGAATTAATCCCAACAAATGGACCATCGAAAGCCCTTTCATACTCAGGGAGGACTTGGTAGGAGGCGAATTCGGTCTCGGGTTGGGTCTGAGCTCTTGAAATCTCGACATCGCGGTCGACGACATCCAAGGGGGTGTAACAAAGTGTCCCAACGATGGTTATTTCGACTCCGTGATTACCGTCCGCGTTTCCAATTACTGCCCATTCGGGGTTCTCATCGAGGAAGCTGCTTTGGCCGAAAGTTTGGTTTAGAATTAGATATGCCGCTCCGTTTCTTGTTTTCCGGTCTGCAGTACTGAATTCACTCTTCAAGCCACCGCCATATGCAAGAGGAGGCCAGTCATAGTACTCGAGATGAATTCCCACGCTTCCAATATTTGAATTTGGCAGTTGGCAGATCGAAATCGGATCGCTAATGCCGCAGAAAAAAGTCGTTGCCTCTGGTTGTGCGTTCTGTATCATATCAGACGAAACAGTCTTTCTAACAGTACCGCCAATAGCCAAATCTACATTACCACTGTCATCCGTATATACCCTAAACCCCGAAATCTGTGGTTTCTGACACACAACCCTGGCATCCCAAACCACCGCTTTACCTTTATAATGTCTCAACCTACTACGATCATCCGCATTAGAAAAAGGGATGAAAGAACGAAGAGTAGTCCCCGTATCAACAATCCCCGGCACAACCGGTGCTTCCACGAAGTATTCCGCAAAGGCAGGGAAATTCGCCGGTCCGGTCTTCCAATATGAATTCGCTTGTGCGGGGGTATATCGAAAATCTCTAGCTTCGTAGATGATTTCATCTGGACCTGCGCCGTTTTCGTTCCATTTGTAATCTATCGTGACATTGACTTCCATGCTCTCCGAAGGTATGGGTTGTACGACTACGTCTGATAGTAGGATTGTGGAAGTGAATCCGAGGATAGACGAAGTTAGGACGATTAAAGATGTGAGGGAGACGATGGATAGGGTGCTTAATTGGCGGATTCCGGGTGTGTTTCTTATGAGGGGGTATATGAAGTTGAGAAGGGTCTCTGTCGAACTGGGGGGTGTCGCGCGCATCATAGAAATCGATGCTAGCTATTTATGAGAGTAAAATAAGTATCATGATCAAGATCAATCATGCACAGCTCACTCGGACATAAGTAAGGGACGTAGATTACTTACATTAGGAAGAGGAACAATCGACTTCTCAATCGCAAGCGCAGCAAGCATAGATAAGCATTGACTCGCCTGGAGTGTCACAGCCATTCTAAACACCGACGACGGCAAAGAAATAGCTCGAACAGCCCAGTCACGTATAATAATAGCATGCCATAGTGAATTATCGACAGTTCCCCACCAGAGGAATGCGAACCATCCCATGCAACCGATGGCGAATAACGAACTACCCAAGAACAGAAGTGAAGAGAGTGAGCCGATCCTATTTGCGACACTGGCTGTTATATTTGTCTCCGTGTTTGCTTCACCGTTTGGGGGGGATTCTGGTTTGGTTGCGGAGACTGAAGATTCTACTTGGGATTTTGAGGGTAATTCTTCTTCTGGAATTGGCTTCTCGCCCATAAGTTCTTCAGCCACGGGTTTTGACTTCTCCTCCATCGTGGGTTAGTACTATAGTACTGTAGTCTTAGATTTTTCAGTAATATGAAGAGAAACTAGATATCAAAAACAAAAGATAATATAGTATAGTATTATATTAGAGGCCTCGTTCTATCCAGAGGCGACCGTAAATGATTGCCTGCCCTAAATCCAACCTCATAGCTGGCAGAGCGAGATCCATTCCCCCTATATATAATACTCATAGTTTACCAAGAGAGGAGTCCTAACATCTTAATCACTTTTATCTATAGCACAGAATACATATTATAATAAACTATCTCAAATATAGATTCAATATACCACGAGACTAAAAAAAATCAGAAATCCCACTACCAAACCTTGGATTAATATCACCAAGCCAGCGGTCCTATGTAGCGCAGTCGCTTAGTTCTCAGAAACCTGAGAATTAAACCTAGTTTCTCTGTTCCCCATCTTGGAAACCGCTTTGGCGTGCATATGCATATGCGGATTCGTTAAATGTTCTGAGCCGTTATCCGTTGTTTTTCCCTTTTAATCTCTTTGCCCTGGAAAATTCTGCTGTCAAATGATTGAGTGATTGGTGAGCTGGAAAATGGTGGCGATCCTGCGTTTTCCGTTATTGATGTTGTAGAATTGCTATTACAGTTTCGATAATTCTCAATCCTTGGCCAGGGCCATTGGAAATCGCCGTCTATGAAATGCCATTTTCGGCTTTGACTGGTGTATAGTAAATACGAAGCATTACTTTTCGTCTTTATCATAAAAAGTTTCAGCCTCAAAGAACTGTGAATCGAATTGTTCATCAAGGATTGTCTTGGTGGTGGAAGGATGCATGTAAAATGCAACGAAGCGAAGGAACAAAGCACGGCAATCCTAACCGAATCCTCCACCAATCCTCGCCAGTTCCTTCCCTTCCATACCAGCGCAATTCTCAAACTCCAACATTCAACTTACCAGCAACTTCCTCTCAACGACAAAGCACAGTTGCAATTCCCTCCGAATCCAAACCGTAAACTATAGGTACTAGAACCCAAGTATTAGTACCACAGCGCGCGCTGAAATAATGCGCCACTGTTACTATTACTATCATTCATAATGCTTCTACCCCACAGCTCCCGTTCAGCTGTCTTCCACTCGCCAGTCTGGCGTCGAGTAATCCCGCGACGAGCTGTAACTCCAATTCGAATTCTTACAACAACGAGAAGGTATCAATCTTCTGATGCTTCGGTGGATAAGAAGCCGTATTATATTACCACCCCGATATATTATGTCAATGCTGGTACGATATCTATAATCCGGATATATGGAAAAAAAGTTGATGTAGTTGCTAATCTGGTTATGGTTATGCATTAGCCCCACATATTGGTCATCTGTATACTTCCGTTCTTGCGGATGTAGTTAAGAGATGGCAGGAATTAAAGGGAAATGAGGCGAGATTATTGACTGGAACTGATGAGTATGGGTTGAAAGTGCGTGAGTGCTTCTTTTGATTTATTTTTAAGAGGGTATATTTTTGATAGGAAAACTGATATTCTGGAGATGTATAGATTCAACAGGCGGCTACTATTGCTGGTGTGAACCCGAAGACGTTTTGTGATACTGGTGCGGGAACATTTAAGGTTTGTTTTTGGTATATTGGTATATATGGCGGTTTGAAGGAGATTGTGATACTAATGGTTGAATAGAAACTGGCGGATACTGCAAATATTAGCTATGACAGGTTTATAAGAACTACGGATCCAGACCACCAGACCGCTGTCGAGCAAGTTTGGGTATATACAACCCCTTCCTTGATACCACCTTTCCACCATCAGTATTCTAACATAATGTTAAAATCTAGCGCGTCCTCCGCGAAGCTGGATACATCTCCCTGAAAAAACACTCAGGCTGGTACTCCATCTCCGACGAAGCCTTCTACCCAGAAACCGGAATCGAAAAGACAATCCACCCACCCACAGGGCAAGAAATCCTCGTCTCCAAAGAAACCGGAAAAACCGTCGAATGGATGTCGGAAGAAAACTACCATTTCAACCTCTCATCAATGGGTCCAAAACTCCTTGAGTTCTACGACAAAAACCCAAACTGGCTACTCCCTTCCCAGAGATACGATATGCTAAAGGCAGAGGTATCAAGAGGGTTAGAAGATCTTTCCATCTCCCGTCCTAGGGAAAGGTTGGAATGGGGCATTCCTGTCCCTGGAGACCCCTCGCAAACGATTTATGTCTGGTTGGATGCTTTGATAAATTACTTGACGTTTACGGGATACCCGTATACGCCGGCGGATCAAACGGTCTGGCCTGCGAATCTTCAAATTATAGGGAAGGATATCATTCGATTCCATTGTATCTACTGGCCGGCGTTCTTGCTAGCCATTGGTGCTGAACTTCCAAAACAGATACTCAGTCATGCACATTGGACAATGTCGAAGAAGAAAATGTCAAAAAGCGATGGGAATGTGGTTGACCCCTTCCATGCTATTAAACGATGGGGGGTTGATACAATGAGATTCTATCTCTGCATCGACGGGGGTATTAGCAAAGACGGAGACTATTCTAACCAAGAGATTGAAGATAAATATAAGAAATATCTAGGAAGTCAAATCGGAAGTCTCCTAACCCGGGTTTGTTCCGCGAAGTACAGTGTCTCGGACGCTGTCAAATGCGAACAAGAAGGTAGAAAAGTGGAATTGAACGAGAAAATGTCACAGTTGTATAACAGGTTACGGTACGAAACACTGGATGGATTGAGATCTCGAGTTGACGGAAGGATGGAAGTTATGGATTTTTCAAATGCGATAAGGGAGATTTTGGACGTTGTGTCGGAGACGCATAAGTATATCCATGCGACTCAATTATGGGACGCCGAACAGGCGGCGATTAGGAGTTACATGTTATACCCTGCGGCAGAGGCACTGAGGATTTCGGGAATATTGTTACAACCCTTCATGCCAGGGAAGATGGAAAAGCTATTGACCTTATTAAACGTGGATGCGAAGAATAGAACGTGGGAGAAGGCGGTTTTGGGGGCGGATTTCGAGTACGGAGTCAGTGCTTCTGGGACGAAAGCCCAGGTTTTCCCGAGGTTTCCTATTAAGGAGGAGGATATGTAGGATATAGCAGCTTAGAAGGCTCACCTTGCGAAAGAAATGCATGGGAAAAGGAGAGGAGAGACGATGTCATGTACATAAGCCTTGTAAATATCACATACCTTAACTTAGCCTACAAAGTAGTAGTAGCCACCATATGTACTGCCCATCCTGGCAAAGTAGAAACTGACCAACCGCAAGGAATATACGCATCCGGACGCGCTCCAGCTGGAACGCGCAGTCACGGGTTCATCATGCATCTAAAAAATGCACGAGCTCGTCCAATTATGTACTCCCAGCCGGCGGAGATTTTGCATTTTAGCTATCACACAATGTTAGTCAAGAAAGACAAAAAAAAAAAAAAAAGTGGAGTAAGGCTGTCAGAGTCATAATCATTTATGCACAGTTGGTTTACTGTTAAGGGTCGGCATCCGAATGGTTTCTTGCATTCCCTTCGGTCTTTGCCTTTGCATCTTTGGCTACCGGGACGGGCTAGGCTGGACACTAACTACTGCCGGGTTAGCTTTGCTGCACGGTGCAGAGCAGTAGAAGCGGCGGATTCCAGGCTCTCTTGTCTGCCTCTCCTTCGATCTTCTATCACAAGCATCTGTTAATAGTTAAGGATTGCTTCACCTCACAGGAAAAGAGAAAGAGAGAATGAAAGAAAGAAAGAAGTTAGCTGGGTATCCTCATCGCCATTGCAATCTTACCAGTACTGTCTATACTCAGTAGAGCATAGCGTGGTGTTTTAGACTAAAAGTCGAATTGACCCGAAGTTCCGTCAGACGGTTTTGATTGCTTGGCTGGGCTGGCTGGTCGGGTTCGCCTGACAGAAGAAGAAGCAGAAGCAGAAGCAGAAACAGCCTTAAGAAAACCTCCAAAACCACCATCGAATCTGACTCGAACTCGAACCATCCCCCATCTTTTATTCCCTCCCCAACTACATACTTACTTTACCACTTCCAGAACTTCTCCAATTTAAAATACCAGAGTGGTTCATAATCACATCGAGACGCGTCGTTCTTTTTCGCTGCCACTTTACGCGACGACGCCATGTCGGCTTCTCAGAAGAGGAATCTTGTATGATCCCTTTTAAATCTCTCGCGACGAGTCCTCTCTCTTTATAGAAAGGAACAGGATTATTAATTGAAGAACATATACAGGATTTCTCCCCCTCACAGGAAATAGCCACAGATCCCAACCACTCCTCCAAAAAACCCCGCCGTTCAGGTCGTCTACAGGCCAAAGCCTCATCGATAGCTGTAATCCGAGAACCAACCCCTCCGACACCACTGGTGGATGCTTTAAAAACTCCAAAACAGGAACATTTTTTCAAAGCCACCGGAACCGCCGCCACAACATCTCCATCGCCGGCTCCTTCGCCTTCACAAGTGAACTGGGAAGCAACACAGCTAGCCACACAAGTTGCTTCGCAGTTTGCGGTACCTCCGGCTGAAAATAGTGATGTTTGGGGTTATCTTTTACCGTTGGATATGGATAAGTCCTTGGGGCTTGGAGATGTATTGACCTTGAAGAAACGAAGTGCTTGTGATGATGAGCCGATTTCCGGGTTTAAGAAGCCGAGAGGACGGAGTGGCGCTGCTGATAAAGGTGGGAAGGGAGCGCCTAGTGGGTATCTTATCGGGAGACATTTGGAATGTGATTTGCGATTGACCCAGCCGACGGTGTCGAATCGGCATTGTGTTATTTTCAGGGTATTTCACATTCTAAAATTCTTATATGTTGTTATTCAAAAAAAAAGAAAAAAGAATCGGTTTACTGATAACAGGTATTATGGAAAACAGGAAATCTCCGGGAAAACATCAAAGGCTATAATCGAAGATCTTTCGTCAAACGGCACCTTCATCGGCGGCTCCAACGTCGGCCGTAATAATCGCCGCGAACTCCGTAACGGCGACGAAATAAAACTCGTCGATGGTGTTCGTTTCATGTTCCGTTACCCACAACAGCAAGCAACGGGTTCTTTCTCCGATAACTTCGAACTGCCCGCCAATGGTACCCTAGGATCTGGACACTTCGCAACTGTGTTCGTAGCGATCGAGAAGAGTACAGGTACGAAGTATGCAGTTAAAGTGTTTAAGAAACGTAGAAAGGACGACGGACGGGGTCAACTGGGGCTACAGCAGGAAATTGCGGTGCTGATGAGTGTTCACCATCCTAACGTCTTGTGTTTGAAGGAAACATTTGATGAAGATGATGGAATCTACTTGGTTTTGGAGTTGGCCTCGGAAGGAGAGTTGTTTAATTTGATTATTGAGAAAGGGAAATTGAGCGAAGATGAGACGAGGAAAATCTTTGTCCAGTTGTTGAATGGGTTGAAGTATTTGGTAATTACCATATTATTTCTTTTCTTATTGAAGCTCTGAGAGAGTCAAATGACTAATCGGTGGTTACAGCACGAGAGAAATATCGTTCACCGCGACATCAAGCCGGAGAATATTCTCTTAACAGACAAGAATCTGACGTGCAAGTTAGCAGACTTTGGTCTTGCGAAGATTATCGGTGAAGATTCGTTTACTACCTCACTGTAGGTTCCCCAGGACCAAAACTCGATAATATTGCATACTAATAGGTTATAGATGTGGCACACCGTCCTACGTCGCCCCTGAGATACTTATGCCTTCTAGGAACAGGAAGTACACGAAAGCAGTTGATATTTGGTCGCTCGGCGTCGTACTCTATATTTGCCTCTGCGGGTTCCCACCTTTCAGCGACGAATTGGCCCCGCCTAACCTTCGAGACCAGATCAAAGAAGGACGATTCGATTACCCAAGCCCTTACTGGGATTCCGTTGGCGATGCGGCACTAGATCTAATCGATAGAATGTTGACGGTCGACGCTGATGAGCGGATTACGGTCGAGGAAGCGCTAGAACACCCATGGGTCCTTAATAAACCGTTTAACCCGGGAATGAGCACCGATTCCGACGCTAGTCTCGCGGGTCACATGCAGAGTTTGCAGGTTAGGAGACGAGGATTGGATAGAGAGAGGACGCTTATCGCGGATATGATGAAGGGAGATGGTGCTGTCGGGACAGGGACGGCTAAGGCGGCAGGGAAGCCGGAAACATCGAACGGTACTAAACCCGGGAAACGAGAAGCTGTCGGAGAGGGTGATGCTTTTGTGAATCTTGGGAAGGACGGTGCAGCTGAACCTTTGTTTTCAGATCAGGAGGTTGAGGAACCGGTGACGAACGGAAAAGAGTAGAAGGATGATATATGATATGATATGGATGAACTGAATGAATATTTGACGGTAGGCAAATTGGCTTGCGGTGCGATGCATTTGGACACATCTTTTATTCACTCTTTCTTTCATTTTTCCTTTCCAATTTTGATTTTGAAATATTTTAATTGATTGGAGAGGATTCTGACGATGGTCTTTGACTTTGTTCTCTTTTTTGATCATTTTCCTTGCTGGATTGACCGTAACAGATTTAAAAGCGATTTTCCTCTCAGTTCTTTTTTTTTAATTTATTCAATTTTTCTACATTCACGTTTGGTGTCGATATCGGGGTCGGACGGTCTATTCGGTTTGACTCGGGCGGAACGATACCGACGGGGCGATCGATTACGTTACGAGGAGAAGCTTCGAAGTATACACGGGGGAAGCTGAGAGGGAGGGGCATGTCGGAGGATATACAGGTATGAACAATCTAACTATATTACGTCTTGTCTGGATCGATTACAGTTTCCTTTTGGTATGATGTCTGCTGCGAGTGCTGGTGCAATTGCAATTTCGAGATGCTCGATTTCTATTCTCATCTTTTATTGTTCCCTTGGATAGGCTAGACCTATGATTTTTTTTTCTCTTTGATTTACTCTTACTTATCCTTCTCTATCGAATTATCATATCTCATTTTATATTTATACTCCAATGTCATGTCATGTCATGTCTTGTCATATCATATCATATGATACCATATCGAAATGCCATATTGAAATGCGGTTTTATGTATCCGGATCCACGAAGCAACGATTGGTTGGAATATAGCTTCAAGCTGTTCAAGCTGTTTTACAGACAAGGTACAGCTAGCTACCTAAGCTGTGCCCCCCATGCACAAGTAGGAACGTCGGGCTTGTATTTCTCCTTTTTTTATATTTTTTTTATTCACTATCGCGTCGTCGTTTAAATGTCTCTCTCTTTGCGCGTCTGTCGGAACTTTTAGAGATGAAGAGATTAAAGAATCTAGTGAAACGGGCACTAAATGACCTGATCTTGCGACGGTCGAGAACTTACCATGACGTGACACCTTTTTTTTTTGTCTTTGACCATGTCCATGTCAAATCCACGGACCGAGAATGGTCGAGAGGTTATTGGGCAGTCGGGCGAGAGAGCGGTGGATTTGGAGACGTTCGGTGTTCTGCGGGTTTCGGTTCCCGGCGCTGCGAAGGCGCGTGGCTGGATTTGGTTTAGTTTCTGTGCGAACCCCTGCAAGGGACAGGACAGCAGCTTCTTTTCTGTCGCATGAGGACGAAATAAAAAAAATAAAAAAAAAGTAAGAAAGTGAAGATGGGAAAAAATAAAATAAAAAAAACTTGAAAGCGGACAAGTATAATTAATATAAATGTCGACGACGGGACTGACCAATTGGTAGCTTCAGATTAGTAGTATTAACTGACTGACTAGCTCCGGTGGTTAATTGCTGTCTGTCTGTCTGTCTGTGGTGGTTGCTGGTGCTGGCTTCTCCTTTCTTTAGTCGATTCTTTCCCTCTACATATTTCTTCTCTCCTTCTTCCTCTTCATCCCCTTCACCTTCATCTTTCTCTTCACTTCCTCCCTCTCCTTCACCTTTTCTTCTACCATCTCAACCACCCTCTCCAACTTCAATTGACCACCTTGCCATCGTTGTCGTTGTCGTTCCAGTCCTCTGAAAGGATTCCTCCATCATGGGGTTGCTCTCCGGTCTCCTCGACCAGGCTTCGGTCTACCTCGAGGGCCAGAATCTCTGGGTCGTCGGTCCTGCTGCCTTCGGTGCCTTCGTCGTTCTCTCCGTCGTCATCAATGTCCTGAATCAACTGTTGTTCAAAGATCCAAATCAGCCACCTGTTGTTTTCCACTGGTTTCCATTCCTCGGATCGACTGTTGTTTACGGTATGGAACCTTACAAGTTCTTCAACAAATGTCAGGAACAGGTATGTCGCCATCGTATACAGCTCTCTTATTTGATTTAATATTCTCAGAAACGAAACTAATGCTAATTCTACGATATTAGTATGGCGATGTTTTCACATTCATCCTGCTCGGCCGCAAGATGACCGTCACCCTCGGCCCCAAGGGCAATGAATTCGTTTTCAACGGCAAGCACGCTGATCTCTGCGCCGAAGAAGCCTACACCCATCTCACCACCCCAGTTTTCGGCTCCGGTGTCGTCTACGACTGCCCAAATCACATGCTTATGGAGCAGAAGAAGTTCATGAAATTCGGTCTTACCACGGAAACGTTCAAGGCCTATGTCCCACTCATCAAGGACGAAGTCGTCAACTACTTCCAAACCAGTCCATTCTTTAGCGGTCAATCCGGCAAGGTTCCATTGTCTACTGCTATCCCACAGCTTACACTGTTCACTGCTTCTCGTTCCCTCCAGGGACGTGAAGTCCGTGAGGCTTTGACAACTACCCACGCTGCTCTCTTCCATGATTTGGATATGGGTTTCACCCCTGTAAACTTCATGTTCCCATGGCTTCCTCTCCCACACAATGCAAAGCGCGATAAAGCCCAGAAGGCAATGGCCAAGCTCTACCTCGATATCATCTCCCGTCGCAAGTCCGGTGAAGACTCCAAGAAGGAAATCGACATGATCTGGAACCTTATGAACCGTAGCTACAAGTCCGGAGAGACCCTGTCGGATCTACACATTGCACACTGCATGATTGCACTCCTCATGGCTGGTCAACATACTTCTATGGCTACTACCACCTGGACTTTACTCCACCTTGCTGCCAAGCCTGAGATCCAGAAGGCCTTGTACGACGAACAGGTCAAAGTCTTCGGAAAGGACCTCGCTCCATTGACCTATGAAAAGCTTTCAGAGCTCCAGATGGTTAACAACGTCGTTAAGGAAATCCTCCGGGTCCACCCACCATTGCACTCCATCATGCGAAAAGTCAAGTCTCCACTCCACGTTCCAGATACCAACTTTGTCATCCCATCGTCTCACTTTGTAATGGCCGCCCCCGGTGTTTCTGCCATGGATGAGAAGTACTTCAAGAACGCTAAGGAATTCGATCCATTCCGATGGGTTGGTCACGAGGCTGATGAGGATAATGCTGAGAAATTCGATTTTGGATTCGGTCTTGTTAGCAAGGGTACTGCATCGCCTTATCTACCATTCGGAGCCGGAAGACATAGGTGCATTGGAGAACAGTTTGCGAATGTACAGTTGGGAACTATTATTTCTACCCTTGTTCGAGAGTTTGAGTTCTCTTTGCCACCGGGACAGAAGGATGTTCCGTTGGTTGATTATAATGTAAGTTCTTTTCTCCTTTCGTATCACAATTTTATCAAATATGATGCTAACAGCTATTTTTTTTTTTTTGTTTAGTCCATGGTTGCTTTAGCTATGGCTCCAGCTATGGTTCACTGGAAGAGACGTCCAGGATCGAATCATTAAATCCACCACGACCACCACCCGCTCCGTGATACGTTACACGAAAAACAAAAAAAGGCGTTCGTTTGGTTACGACATGCATTACACAACATAACATATATCCCCCCCTTTTCTTTGCTGGCATATATAGGTTAGCAGCAAGTCGGGAAGAGGAGAAAAGGAGGGGAAGAAGAAGAAGAAGAAGAAGAAGAAGAAGAAGAAAAAGTCAATTGGCCGGCCGTTTCTTTGGGTTATGGGTTTGTTACAAAACTATTTGGGGCGATAAAAGGCGGTTTTCGGTTTTTTTTTCTTTCTTTCCTTTTTTTTTTTATAAAGAAATAATAATACTTGATGCGTGAATGATAGAATTATGGGTTGGAGGACGGAGGATGATAGACTAACTACATTTCACTCTGCTTATTACCCTTTTTTATTTTTATATAATTGGAGAGTGGATGTATGTTTCTTTCTTTCTTTCTTGTATAGATATGTTTTAAACCCCTGCTTTTTATTGGGGGTTAGTTCTTTATAATAGCTAATAATGAAGATAATTTGGAATGAAATGTGTACTAGTATATCGCATAGGATACATACTAAGTACCTTATATACTAAAACTTATATCACACCGTCTAATCTAACCTCCTCCTGCTCAGCAGCAACAGCAACAGCAGCCTCCATCTCGATCCTATCCAAATCCCTTTGAAATTTCTTTTCCAATCTATCGGCCATGTGGTAATCATATTGTGCGTATGCACTGAGTTTTTTTAATTCGATATCGTATTGGTCTGCTAGGAGTCTTATCCTTTTCCATTTTAGAATACTTGGGGAGGTGTATTTTCCGTTTGTGAGGGATGTCCAGAAGGATTTATGTGGGGTTTTTATGTTGGTATTGTTTTTTGGATGGGGGGTGATGATGTGGTGGAGGGGTTTTTGGAGGGATATTATTGATTCTTCTTGTTTTTTGTCTTGGTTTGTGGGGGTGGTGGTATTTAGGGAGATTTTGCAGGTTGGAAGGGGGTTTAGAGTATTTATATCTGTGTTTCTATTTAGGTTTGTGAATTCGAGATCTGGGAGTTCGTAGGTTGGGATGGTGGGGTGGTGACCGTTTAGTTTTAGGGATATGTGGTTTAGATGTTTGAAGTATTGCCGGTTTGCAGTGGTGGTATTGTTATTGTTATTGTTATTATCGTTAAAAGGAAGAAGGTAGGATATTACTTCATACCATTCTTTATCCGGGTATTGCATCTGACAGGCTTCAAAACTGATGTATTCGATGAGTGAGTCCTTGGGTGTGGGGAGGAGGTGGTGGATATCTTGGATTGTGAGGTGTATGTTGTGAAGTTTTAGAGATTTTAGGTGTGGTAGGTTGGTTATAACCTTTTTCTTATCGTCCTTGCCCTTGTTCTTGTTTTTGTTCTTTGGGAGGAAGATTGTTTGGTGGGGGTGGAGGGGCCATGGTTGATTAAGAGAATTGGGGGGACTGGAAGTGTTTTTGAGGGTGAGGGAGTGTAAAGTTTGGGAGAGGGAGGTTATCCAGGTCCAGAGTTTTGAGATGGGTTTTTGGTCGAGATGGTGGTTGTTTGTGAAGGGGAATTTGAGGGAGAGGGAGAGGGTGGTTAGAGAGTGAAGGATTGGTATTGGGGAAGCTGGGAAGGTGAGGTCTGTGAGGTTGAGGGATGGAGTGGTGATGTGGAGGGATTGTAGAGAAGTTGAAGAAGAGGAAGTGGAGATGAAGATGGAAATGGTTAATAGAGAGGTGATGATTGTTGAAGGTGTGGTTTCTTTGATGGTGATTGTTTTAAGGTTTGGGAGGGTTTGGAGGATGGTGGACAGGTTTGGGGATGTTGATTTCGACTTCGACTTCGACTTCTTTGTTATATTATGACTAGTATTGTTATTACTCTTATAATTATCGACTGCCTTGAAGTTTAAGTACTCCTTGGACCCAGAGATTATTATAGTTTGAATATAAGACTTCGCAGCAGACGGGAGGTGTGATAGTTTATATATGCTGTCGCCCTCGTCGGGATCTGAATTGATATCGATACGGATGGATATGCTGGTGAAGAGTAAAGAGCGGAAGTAATGTTGGAATTTGAGGTTGTGGGATTTGTTGAGCAGTCGGATTTTGAGGAGATCCGGAAGGGTTAGAGGTCCGGTTATCAGGTTGAGCAGTTCGGGCGGGAGGGTGGCTAAGGAGGCCATTTATTTCTCTTATCTTTATATTTTTTGAATATATTTTATTTTATTTTATAGAATTATAGAATTGAGGAAGTTATTATTATTTTAAGTTGTAGATAGTAGTAGCTATATATAGGCGAACCAGGGACTGGTGTGGATCGGATTAACTAGGGAAAAAAACTCTTTTTTTTTTAGTTCGTCCCGAAGATGTGGGTCGGTTCTCTTTTTCGTCTTTTATGTATGACGTATGTATTTAAATTTAAATAACATCTTGCTTGGGCTAGATATTGTAGATATCAACATGTAATTATTCATTCATGTTGATGGGATAATATATATACACAAAGGAAGTATATATAAAGTATATAGTATAGTATAAGTAGTTAATACCATACATCCTCACAGTCCGAATCAACTTCCCTACTAATCGCCCTAATCCTTTCCCAAAGCCTCGGATCCCCCCGTTCTCCATACTCCAACCTCGAGACCTCTCCCACCTTAATAATCCTCTTCAACCTGGTCGCTCTATCCGACGTCCACTTCCCGTTCGTCAAAGACTCCCAAAACACTTCCTCCCCTAATCCATCCCTCATAACTCTATCAAGTTCCTCCCAAAGACTCTTCCTAACCACATAAGTATTCCATTCACCTGACCGTAATTTTACTTCACATTTTGTATTCCTTTGATTCCAGGGTTTTGCGGTTTTGCCGGCGCTGGAGATGATTATTTCGTTCGTGTTGAATTTTAGATCCGGTAGGTCGTAGGTTGTTATTCCGTTGTAGTACCCGCTGAGGGAGAGTTTCAAGTAGGTTAGTTTTGGAAAGGTGTGAGTTTTCAGGTGGGTTAGTATTATAAACCAGTTTTGAGCCGGGTCGTTTGGTAGTAGATGGCATTTTGTGAGGTTTAGTTTTTCGAATTGAGAGGATATGTGGGAGGGTAGGAGGTGGTTGGTTATATCTTTGACTGTTAGGTAGAGGTCGTCTAGGTGTAGTCTTTTTAGATGAGGGAGGTTGAAGGTTTGGGGGAGGAAGTTGTCGATGTGATCCGGGTTTGCAGATATGGAGTTTTGATGATGATTATCAATGATACTATTGATATCATTATCGATATCGTTACGAGAGTTTCGAATGGTCAGGTCTTCGAGACAATTCCTCCCGATTATCGATATCCATGACCAAAAGTTTTGCATCGGCATACCCTCCGTATGCATCTCCAATGTTTTTAACCTGTCGAAGCTGCCATAAGAGTATTGTTCCATTTCAGATGGTGATAGTAATAATCCCGACACCAGCATTTTCCCGGGAGGACTTCTTAGGGTTTCTATTGCGGAGACTTGGGATTTGGAAATGGATGATATGATTTCTTTCCAATTTGTTATATTACAGCTGCCATCGAAGTCGATGAGTCGGAGGTTTGGAAGGTGGTTTAGGATTTCTGTTAGGTCGTTGGGTGGTGGTGGTGGCGGTAAGTATTTTGAAGATGTATTATAATCATTTTCATGATCATCCGATGGAGAAGATAATGATATATTTGGGTTTAACTTCGATAACGGCTTTGAAGAGAATGTTATATGTTGAATCCATGGTCCTACTCCTGATTGTGTGATCTTGGAGAGGTGGTGGATGGTCGATGGATGGGTGTTCAGACGGAGGTAAGTGAAGATTTTTGTTCTGAAGTGGGATTGGAAACGGTGGTTGTAGGATTTGCAGAGGAGGCGGAGTTTTGTGGAGTCGTGAATGGGGATGGTTGAGAAGATTAGGTCGGTGATTTCGGGGGGCAGGAGGAGGAGGGACGGTCTTTCCATTATATTATATTATATATCTTCCCCTCTTTTATTTCTATTTAATTATATAATATCATTTGGGATGAAAATGATTTGTTTTAATTATATCTTCCGAGTCTAGATCTTTCTAGTTTTATATCTGATCGAGAAGTTAGAATTCGGGATGTCATGTCAGAGTCGGGGTAGCTAGGAATATTGATTCTACTCGATTCGATTCGCGGGGTCACGATTAATATTACGTTTGTCATCCCCAATAAACATAGTACTTACATACTACCATATCACCTCGACTGGACCTACCATTAACATATATTATCTCTATCAGGAAACGTCCTTTCTAACTATAAGTATACCTTTGAAACATGTTAACATTAATAACTACTCGAGTATTTAGTTAAATCTCAAAGATCGTCGCGAAATTCAACGGTTTCACGGTATCATGTGACCTCGAATTTTTAACTTCGAATTAAACATGTAAATTAACGACCGATGTATAACATGTACCGTCTATGTACATACCGCCTGAACAAACTCCCCACGTGAGCTCTCGAGCTCATGCTCAGGGTCTTATCAAGCGGTGTACTTACAAAAAAGGATTAACGAATGGGGGTGTGTGGACCCTGTGATGATGATTTAAACCCGTCACGACCAACCTGCAAAAAAGGGTCCTACGGCAAGAACGGTGCTTATTAGGAATAGCCCACCCCAAGAGGTAGATAGCTTGTAGCTAGCTAGCTAAGTAGCCAGCTGAAGGTCGGGAAGATAACGGTAAGTACATACATATTTACTCTCTCTCTCTCTCTCTCTCTCTCT